GCCACAACTACTGAGCCTGTGCTCTAGAGCCCTCGAGCCACAACTACTGAGCCTGTGTGCCACAACTACTGAAGCCCATGTGCCTAGAGCCCGTGCTCCACAACAAGAGAAGCCACCGCAATACGAAGCCCACACACCGCAACGAAGAGTAGCCCCCGCTCGCCACAACTAGAGAAAGCCTGTGCGCAGCAATGAAGACCCAATACAGTCAAAAATGAATTAAATTAATAAACTTATTAAAAACAAATCAAACTCTGACTTGTCTGTGTCCCTGCAAAAGAACACTGCTTGTACCAATTTACATTCCCACCAACAGTGTAGGAGGGTTCCCTTTTCTCCACATCCTCTCCAGCATTTATTGTTTGTAGATTTTTTGATGATGGCCATTCTGACTGGTGTGAGGTGATACCTCATTGTAGTTTTGATTTGCATTTCTCTAGTAATTGGTAGAGCCACTATGGAAAACAGTATGGGGGTTTCTTAAAAAACTAAAAATAGAACTACCATATGACCAGGAATCCCACTCCTAGGCATACACAAAAGAAAACCATAATTCGGAAGGATACATGAACCCCAATGTTCACTGCAGCACTATTCACAATAGCCAGGGCACAGAAGCAACCTAAATGTCCATCAACGGAGGAATGGATAAAGAAGATGTGGTACATATATACAGTGGAATGTTACTCCATCATAAAAAAGAGCAAAATAATGCCATTTGCAGCAACATGGATGGACCTAGAGATTGTCGTACTGAGTGAAGTAAGTCAGACAGAGAAAGACAAATATATGATATCGCTTATATGTGGAGTCTAGAAAAAGGCTACAAATTAACTGATCTACAAAATAGAAATAGAGTTACAGATGTAGAAAATAAACTTTTGGTTATCAGGGGGTAAGGGAGGGGAGCGATAAATTGGAAGATTGGAATTGACATAATTACACTACTATATATACAATAGAAAACTAATAAGGACCTACTGTATAGCACAGGGAACTCTACTCAATACTCTGTAATGGCCTATATGGGAAAAGAATCTAAAAAAGAGTGGATATATGTATATGTATAACTGACTCACTTTGCCGTACACCTGAAACTAACACAACATTATAAATCAACTGTACTCCAATAAAAATTAAAAAAAAAAAAAGAAAGAACACTGCTTGAAGCTTCTGTAAAAGACTGTTTCCCAACTTAGTCTCTGGGGTTCAGACTAGCCCAGAAAAGTCATATGACAGAGAAGGCTGTGTTCCTTCCCCATTTCTAAATGCATTTGCATTACACCAGCTCACAAAAGTCAGGCCTTATACCTCTGTGTACATTTTACATACTGCCTAGGGCCTTGCTTACCTTAGGAAAGTACATTTAACAACTCCTCTTTGGGCATCTATGCTATAAAAGAAGGTATTATGTAAAAAGACAGAGGGGAAAAGGCTCCTAATACTTATGAACTTCCAGTCTAGCAGGGAGAATATAAACAAAAAACATAGCTTCCAGCACAACTTCAAGCATTTACCAGTGTCCACCATTTTACACCACTGTGAATAGTGGTGGTATGAGGAAAGATAAAAACTAACACATAAAGAACACCCACAAAAAGCCAGGCACTACAGGAGATGCTTTCACACATTTCAGAACAATTCTGTGAGGAAGCGGTCTTTCCCCATGTGAAGGTGAGAAAAATGAGGCTACAAGGTTAAAAGTGACATGTCCAAGACACACAACAAGTGGGTTACGGAGCCAGAATTTGACCTGAGGTCTGTCAGATTCTAAAGCCTGTGCATGCTATCATTTCCCCAGGTTGTATAGAAACAATCAGAAAAACTTACCGTGTAGTAATCATACCAGCGGGCTCTAGGGAAATATGCAGTGACATTTCTGGCATTCTAAAATTAAACAACAACAAAAAAAACAAGGCATGAGCAGTAGGCTCAGCTCTCTAGGGCAGAGTAACCATTTGCAGAGTAAAGGGGTCAAAACAATGTAATGGCCTTGGACCCACAGGCCTCTTCTCTCTAGAGGTCACCAGTGTTGGGAAAGGCTCCCTTCTCGGATCCCTTCTCAAACTGGGGAGATCTGCCTAACCAAAAATGGTGGCTTCTGTAACACCCTTTGGGATCCGGGACTTAAGGGGGGAAAAAAAATCATCATTTACTTATAGACTTATCCCATACCCTCTCTAAAGAGACAAACTGAGGCTGGGTCTAGAGCAGAAAAAAAAATTGTAGGTTTACGGCACCAGTACTTCAGAAATTATGACTAGTGCAGTAAGTTTTGGAGAAGATCCGGTTAACTGTTATTTTAATCAAAAGCCTAATCATTGATGAAGTAAAGAAATGGCTGCCTGAGGACCCCTTTTGGAGGAAGGGAAGAGCTAGCCAGCAACAAAAGTATACACATTGCTTTGTATACAAAAGTATACACAAACAATCCTTCTGAAAAGTTTTGTTTTAATGGTGATAGAGGATAGCAAGGATTTCCTTATAGTACTGTCCCCACCTGACTCAGACTCCTTCTTGCAGTTAAAGAAGAAATGATTATATCTTCAAATATATCAAAGGGTTTTTTCCTTCTTGATTATCCAATGAATCAGAATTCGTTATGCTGATTTTAAAGATGAGGGAGCTGAGGACCAGAGCACCTAAGTAATGAACTTCAGCTCAGAGGGAGAGGAGGAGACAGAGGTAGAATAAGAAACCACATCTCAGGACCCCATCAGATGAGGCCTCTTCTCTTCGACTAGTCACCGGCCTCATAGCTGGGATCCTCTATTCATCAGAGGCCTCCATACTCACAGGCTCCAGGACAGGGCTGACCAGGAAGGCTGGGCCCAGAAGGAACTGACTGTCTACATCCCAGGTCACCTGGTCTGACACAAACCTGGAGAGGGAAACCAAGGTGCCACAGTTAGGACCCCTACAGGACTCCAGATGGAGGCCTTGAAGAAACTCCTCAAGTTCAGACCCAAGTTGGAAATCCAGCCGCATCCTATGCCATCCTTTATTCTTTCCCTAGGTCAACCTTAATTAGATACATGCTCACTTTCTACATGTCATGTTCTTCAAACCCCAGAAATGGTTGGATTTAGACACGTTCTCACCTATCAATGTCTCCACATGTTTCTTAACCACAGCACATTTTAACACAAGAATGGTCCATTCCTCAGATATCCCCCTGGATTCGTGACCTGAGCTACTATAAAGGATACGTAGGTCTTTACAGGCCCAAATTAGAAAGAAATTATTCTGTGTTGTACTGTACATCATTTTGAAATTTTTCAAAAAAAATCAGTAGTCTTTTACCAAAGATCTAAGGTGTGACTGACACCATGCTAAAAGGAGTCATAATGTACGGTCTGTGCCTAGAGAGCTTTTGGCAAAGGCAGTCATGCCTTTAATTTGGAAGAATTGTTTTCTTCAACTGCCACCATATAGAATAAAATTATCACTTAGTCTTTGGTATCCTTGCTATACACTCACTCATGGAGAAGAGGCCGCACGACAGTGCTGCCCTCCGTGTTGGCCCTGTGCATCAGGGTGTACAGATATGGCAACAGGGTGTATCTGGTCTGCAGGACACTTCTGGAGATAGTCACAAAGGTAGAATCCCAGGACACAGGGTCTTGCCTCTAAGGAGAAAAAAAAGTGTTCAGGGCTCAACTTAGGGGACCTGGGGGACGTAAGGAGATAACTGAACATTTATTCCAAATGAAGATCAAACAAAGCTAAACCAACGATGACTATAGATGAGACTCAAAGAATATTTTTAATAGACCAAAAGAGGTCACTGAAGCTTTCCCAGGACAGCTGAAAAAATTCCCCATAAGAAATGGGGGGTAGGGTATATATTTGGTACAATGCCCAAACTGAAAGAATACTGATTCATTGAAACATGAGGATTTTTTCATGTACTTGTTGGCTATTTGTATATCTTCTTTGGAAAAATGTCTATTCAGTTCCTCTGCCCATTTTTAAATCAGATTTTTTTTTTTTTGCTATTGAGTTGTATGAGTGCCTTATATATTTTAGATATTAACCCTTTATCAGATACATAGTTTGCAAGTATTTTCTCCCAATCTGTGGGTTGTCTTTTCATTTTGTTGATTCCATGCAGAAGCTTTTTAGTGTGATGTAGTCCCACTTTTTAAATTTTGCTTCTGTTCTTTGTGCTTTTGGTGTCATATCAAAAAAAAAAATTGCCAAGAACAATGTAATGTAGATTTTTCCCTATGTTTTCTTCTAGGAGTTTTATGGTTTCAGGTCTTAATCCATTTTGAGTTAATTTTTTTGTGAGTGTGGTAAGATTTGAGTTATTTTTGTGAGTGTGCCTGTGATTATCTAGTTTTACCAACATCATGCATTAAAGAGACTATGTTTTCTCCACAGAGTATTTTTGGCTCTCTTGTCAAATATTAGTTGACAATACATGCAAAGGTTTATTTCTGGGCTCTGATTCTGTTCCATTGGTCTATTAGTCTATTTTTTATGCCAATATCATACTGTTTTGATTACTAGACCATGTAGGTTTTTTTTTTTTTTTTTGCGGTACGCGGGCCTCTCACTGTTGGGGCCTCTCCCCTTGCGAAGCGCAGGCTCAGCGGCCATGGCTCACGGGCCCGGCCGCTCCGCGGCATGTGGGATCTTCCTGGACTGGGGCACGAACCCGTGTCCCCTGCATCGGCAGGCGGACTCTCAACCACTGCGCCACCAGGGAAGCCCTAGACCATGTAGTTTTGATTATTATAGCTTTGTAATATAGTTTGAAATCAGGAGGCCTGATGCCTCTAGCTTTGTTCTTTCTCAGGACTGCTTTAGTTGTCTGTGGTCTTTTGTAATGCCATACAACTTTTAGGATTTTTTTTCTATTTCCGTGAAAAATCACATTAGAATTTTGATTGGAATTACATTGACTTCATAGATGGTTTTAGTATGGACAGTTTAACAATGTTAATTCTTCTGTTCCAAGAACACAAAATATTTTTCCACTTGTCTCTTTCAACAATGTCTTACAGTTTTCAGTGTACAGATCTTTCACCTTCTTGGTTAAGTTTATTGCTAAGTACTTTATTGTGTTCTGATGCTATTGTGAATGGGATTGTTTTCTTTATTCCTTTTTCAGATATTTCACTGTTAGTGTATAGAAAGGCAATTGATTTCTGTATGTTGATTTTATATTGTGCAACTTCACTGAATTCATTGATTGGTTTCTAATAGTTTTTTGGTGACATCTTTAGGATTTTCTGTATATAAGTTCATATAAACTGTAAACAGAGACCATTTTACTTCTTCCCTTATGATTTGAATGCTTTTTTTTTTCTCATCTGATGGCTCTGACTAGGACTTCCAGTACTATGTTGAATAGGAGTAGTGAGAGTGGGAACCCTTCTCTTTGTCCTGATCTTAAGAGAAAAAGCTTTCAACTTTTCACTGTTGAGTATAATATTAGCTGTGAGCTTGTCATATATGGCCTTTATTATGTTGAGGTACATTCCTTCTATACTCAATTTGTTGAGAGTTTTTAATCATGAAAGGATGTTGTATTTGTCAAGTCTTTTTTTTTCCTGCACCTATTAAGATGATCATATGACTTTTATCTTTTATTCTATTAATGTGGTATATCACATGATTTGCATATATTGAACCATCCTTGCATCCCACGGTTAAACCCCACTTGATCATGATGCATCATTCTTTCAGTGTGCTGTCAAATTCATTGTACTAATATTCTGTTAAAACGTTTTAGAACTATATTCATCAGGGATATTGGCCTGTTTTTCTTTTCTTGTAGTATATTGGCCTCTTTTTCTTTTCTTGTAGTGTCCTTATCTGCTTATGTATCAGGGTAATGCTGTTCTTGTAAAATTAGTTTGGCAGTGTTCCCAAACCTTTAATTTTTTGGAGGTGAGAAGTATTGGCATTAATTCTTTTTAAAATGTTTTACAGACTTCACCAGGGAAACCATCTGGTCCTGGGCTCTTCTTTGTTGGGAGATTTTTGATTACTGATCTCCTTACTCATTACTGGTCTGTTCAGATTTTCTAGCTCTTCATAATTCAGTCTTGGTAGGTTCATGTTTCTAGAAATTTATCCATTTCAACCAGGTTGTCCAATTTGTCAGTATATAATTGTTCATAGTAGTCTCTTATGATCTTTTATATTTCTGTGGTATCAGTTATAATGTCTCCTTTTTCATTTACAATTTTATTTATATTTGATCTTCCTCTGTTTTTGTCTTAAGAAATCTAGCTAAAGGGTTGTCAATTTTGTTTATCTTTTCAAAGAATCAGCTCTTAGTTTCACTGATCTATTTTCTGGTCTCTATTTTATTTATTTCTGCTCTGATCTTTGTTATTTCCATTCTTCTGCTAACTTTGGGCTTAGTTTGTTCTTCTTTTGCTAGCTCCTTGAGGTGTAAAGTTAGGTTGCTTATTTGATATCTTTCCTTTTTCTATAAACTTCCCTCTTAGGACTTGGAATGGTAGTTATCAGGGGCTGGGAGGTGAGAGAAATGGGGAGATGTTGGTCAAAGAGTAAAAACTTCTTGTTATAAATTAAATATTTCTGGCGATATAATGTACAGCATGGTGTCCATAGTTAACAATACTGTATTATACACTTGAAAGTTGCTAAGAGCATAGATATTAAATGTTCTCACAACAAAAAAGAAATGGTAATTATGTGACATGATGGAGGTGTTAACTGACCCTACTGTGATAATCATTTCACAATATATAAGTATATCAAATTAAAAAAAAGAAACACGAGGGTTTAACGGTTTTGAAGATGTCCTTGGGGAATATAGACTACATTACTTGTCGTTCAAAAAGGGAGTCTGTGTTCCTGGTGACACAGAACTTTTGAGCTCTGAGCTCAATGTCCTACCCTGGCCCCAATGCTGTTGTGGTTCCTCGAGAAGGGGTAAAAGGCCCCCAGCTGCATCCAGCGAGCACACATTTCATATTCAGCATCTTGAAAGAATCCACAAATATCCGCTCCTGTCTGAAACAGGGTAGAATAAAATGGGCCCGTTAATGATTTCTGAAAGATATCACCATCTGCTTGGTGATTGGGAGTACTCCAAAGGACGCTTACAAAGGATACGCCGAAGAGGCTAAACTCCATCATGCCTGCAACGAGAACCACAGCTGTGTCAGACAAGGCACTCATGACCTGCCTCCTCTTCCCTCCTTGGAGAAGCCTTGATCGAAGACCCCAACTCCTCTCCTCTCCCAGCAGCCCACACACCAATGATAGATTTCCTCAGCTGGTCCCACGCGGCCGTGTTGTCACCCAGCCAGTGTCCTCCCCAGCGGCCAGAAGAAGGAAAAGTGGAGCGAGTGATGACGATCCCTCGCTGTCCCGTCACCTCCTGCACAGCTCTGCTCGGAGGGGAACAAGGGGGTGATTTAGGGCACAGCAGGTGAGGAAAGGCCACAAACCTTCTCCTCCCAGAGCTCCTGAGCCCAGGGCATGGTGACAAAATATCTCCTGTGTCACAGAAGGGACTATGGAAATCTAAGCCATGAGGTTCCTCACTGACTGACTCCATATGATGGTGATAATATTAAAAGTTGTGTCTTTACATTGTGTTTTATAGTGTTTCATATAAAAAAAAACTTCACAATGTAATAAACTCACCAGATCACCTAAAAATAATAGGTAATCACTAAATTTTGCTATTTATTTACTCAATACTTAGTTTTATATATTTGGGAAAGAAGAAGATGAATTCCTTTTAAGGCTTTCCTTAGGATATTTGTTATTAAGCATGGAATGAGCACACAAAATGGGACAGTGATAATTAAGTAGAACACCAGTTGGCTACCCAACAAGAGTGACAAAAATAAATTCTAATAGAGATGAGTCACTTTTGAAAAAAAGGAAAGAGGTATCCAGTCCTCTGTGTTCCCTTACAATAAGTAAAGTTATTATAGCATCATCCACGCTGAGTGGTGTCTTATGTCTTATGTCTCCACGTGTATTTCCTCCACTAGGACTATTAGTCTCTTACTTAAATAAGGACCACGCCTTATTTAAATCTGTCCTGCTAACTAGGATCACAGGGTCTGGCTCCATGCTCATGAGTATTTAATAAATGAGAATTGCGACAGAGCTATAATTAAAGTCTTCTTAACTCTTGGAAGAAGGAATGAAAGGACGAGCAGTGTAGCTTCATCAGTCCCTGGCCGTCCCTGCAGGCTGTCCCGACTGCAGAAGGCAGTTGATGACTCACTCGTACGTGGGTCTGGTCTGGGCCCACCCGTACAGGCTGTGCACGTCGTAGTGCCGCACCGGGGAGCCATCAGGCAGGAGCTGCTGGCTCTCCATGCACAGGGTCTTGCTGCTCAGGCCCCTGTCCCTGGACTCCAAATCTGAGGAGAAAGATCTAGTGATGTGAAATCCACCCCTGCCTGATCCTGTTTATCCTTGACCTCTCCTCATGGGATTGGACTCTGGATCATAAGACTAACTTGACCCCTGCATGGGTCCCTCTCCTCCCCAGGGGCATGGAAACATGCACGGCTCTGAGCTACAGTGGCACTCGCGGGTGTTTTCAACATCCAGGGCCCCGGAGGGTTCCCCGGGAGAAAGCAGGGGCATGGGGAAGAACGCAGTTGTCAAACACTTACTGAGTGACAGGCTCCAACCTAGGCTTTTAACATGTATGTTATTTTATGTAATTCTTATCATAGTTCTATGGAGAAGATATCATTATCTTCCTTTAACAGTTTAAAAAACTGAGATTAGAAAATAGCAATAATCTGCTAAAGGTCACACAACTCATAGAGAGTATAGTTTCCGGAACCAAGATATGAACACAAGTACAACGCCAAAGTCATTGACTCCATGATAAGGTGAGGCCATTACTTTCCACCCACTGGTGACACAATAAATTCCTGTGGAGGGATTAACATGAGCCTGAAGAAGTAAGACACCTAGCTGTGGGATCCTTTGGAGACATCACCACAGTTAACTGGTTTTTGAAAAAAATTTGAGAAACTTACCCAAAGGGGCCAATAACTTGCCCACACCCAACTGGGTAAAGTTCTTGGAGTGTGTTTGTCTTTGGTCCCCCCAAAACCAGAGTGTCAGTCAGGATGTCCCTGAACATCAGGATAAATGTCTGGCTGCTGGACTCCTGCAGCTCATTCCCTGCAGCCATGGCGCTGCCAGTAGAGGAGGCCAAGGGTCCTTACATGGCATGTAGGGAGGGTGGTTCAGACAGGCATCCTTGCAGCCTGGAGGGACTGCCCCACTCACGAAGCTTGCCGGTTCATTCATATCCTAGAAATGTCCAACACAGGAATACTTTACTTTTAAAAAGAATTATATACTGTTAACTCAGAGACAAGGAAGCAGAGAATAATTGTTCACCATCCAGTAATTCCACAGATACCAGCCCAGGGAGATTCATCAAATCCAGCTTGAAAAAGATCAATTAAGCCCTACAGAATGACTGGCTGGTGGATTTGAAAAAAAATTCTCACTCAGGGTGTGAGGAAGGCTCAGTTCCAAGGAATTCCTGGTAATCAGCTTGGAATTCTACAGCAAGAACTTCAGACAAGGTACAAGGTATGAGGAGTATCAGAACGGTCCACTCCAGATTGGAGGAACTGCAGTCTGATATGTCCAAAGTCTTTCTTGGATGATTATTACCCCTTTTGATTAAAGGTCAGTAATACATATGCTTAGGCACACAGAGATAGAAACACACCTATCCCCATGTACACAGACACAAACACACACACTTACAATCCATATGCCATCAAACTTCAAGCTCTTCTCTGGATCCCGTGGATTGGTGTACATTTCTCTCAACTCCCTTTTCCACCATGTGATGGTTGAATTACGGAAAAAGTCTGGGAAGGCCACATAAGCTCGGTATTGCTGTAAAAAGTAAATACAATTTATTTGTCCCAAACAAATATATTAGACAGAAAACAGGCATTTCCTAAAAGCTTAACTCATGCAAAGCCTATACTGTGTGGTGATAGTTAATCCAAAGTTATGAGCTTAAGTAATGTTCTTAGCTTATTTGAAATACAATGAGCTCAAAGAACAGAAATGAGCACAAATGAGACACCTTCTTATCATTTGGAAAGCATCCACAGACTGTTTTCCTCTTTGTATCAACATGAATGGTAGCCATCAACACCCTGAACTCACTTTTTCTATCGTTAGATACCCACCCCTCAACTTCTGTCCTGCGATTTCCTAAGCACTCCTCAAAGACAAAGCATGAGCCAGGGAGACTGCAGCTTGAAAGGGGCAGACAGCAGATGCATTGTCAACAGGTTGTAAAGAAACATCCAGCTGATCCTCTCCTATCTCATTCCCAGTAGGAAAAAAGGGTGAGAGGTAAGACTGCATTTTATTACATAAGACTATCTAACTAATATGTATCTGGGTTTTCTATGGTTTCAGAATCACTTGAAAAGTGCAGTTGTGTGTCAACTAAATTGGGGGAACTTAAAGAGGAAGTTTCAACTCCCCTTTCTCTTATCTTCTTCAAATAATAAAAAACTGTCTTTATTTTAACCTGGAAAATGGACCCAAGGTATAACTCCTGAACTATAGCCCCTTTGAGAGCAAGGCCCTTGTTGACCTTTGTATTCCCCAACCATGCTTAGCTTAGTAGCTGACATAAGATAAATGTTTAGAGCATAATTGTAGATTCACACCACTTAGCAATAGCAAATATTCTTAACTTTCTATATAGCTATGATGCTTGTTATGGAGATTTATGGTCGTTTGTATGTCTCAGTAAATTGGTTCCTCTGTGTTCATCAGTGCATTTCAAGAGTTAAAAAGTTAAATAATGCTGGTGGCAAAAGAGTGGGTGGGGAGGAAACAACAGAAAAAGGACTTGGTCTAGGGAACCTCCAGTACCTAAACATGATAGGCAAAAGGCAAGTGGAATCCAAATGTCTAGAAAAAAGGCCAAAAAGAACACAAAGAAAAAACCAGAAATGGATTAGTGTACAGGGATCCAGCTCACAGAGAACTTTTGAGGTAGTGAGCCACACCACTGAGCATCTCGTGAAAGGGAGGCATGCCAAGGTTGCCTTTTTGTTAGAAAATGGAGGTAGAAACATGGACCCAACAAAATAGAACCTTTCACCAGAAACAGAGAGCTCCAGCTCAGGCAGGGTTAGAAACATGGGGTAGAGGAGGGAAGTGGAGAATTGGAATAAACAGAGTCAATACCAGCCGTGTCCAAGTGATAACTGAATCCCAAATGAGATACAAGTGAGAAACTTGACTATGATTTATTAACCCCACTAAAGGTGCTCTGACCCTTACCCATGAAATTAAAAATGTTCTGCTGTTCTCCAAGGTACTGGCTCTGCCTCACTCCTGTCTGTATTCCACCTTTGCCTCATTGCTTCTGTCCTCACTTTCCCTAGTCCTCAATACATGATGTACCCACTTGCATGTCTGGTCCCAGGATTACTTACCACAATCCATTGTGTGCTACCAAGATGCAATTCCTAGGCTCCATGCCAGGCTTACTGTATTAAACGTCTAAGCTTCAGATCCAGTGGCCTCAGGCCCACTAATCTCATCAAGTGGGTCTTATTAATATAAATAGTTAAAATCATTCTATCTATTGAGAATATCTTATGTGCTACCTAACAAACATTGCGACCCCCTAATGAAGTATTTCTCATCAGGGGCACAATTGGCATTTAGGGCAGGAGAATTCTTGGTGGAAAATCCCCTGTAATTGGGCATCCCTGGTCACTGCCTACAAAATGTCACTTGGTGCTCCCCTTGCAATAATCAAAACTGTCCCACAGATTTCCAAATGCCCTCAAGGTGGCAGTATTGCCACTAATCGCCGATGCACTGTAGGGCTCACACAGTGGTAGCCAACTTCTTGATTGCTGAAGTGGCCCTCTCCCCAGCATACTAATTTAAAAGTCATGGTACTGCCATAAAAACAGACACATAGACCAGTGGAACAGAACAGAAAGCCCAGAAATAAACCCACACATCTGCAGTCAATTAATCTTTGACAAGGGTGTCAAGAACACAAATAGGGAAAGGACAGTTTTCTGTTAACAGTGTTAGAAAAACGTGGATATGTAGAAAACAAACGTATGGACACCAAGGGGGGAAAGTGGCGGGGGGGGGGAGGGTGGGGGATGAATCTAAGAAAAAAGGAAAACATGGATATCCACATGCAAAAGAATGAAACTGGACTCCTATCTTACACTGCTCACAAAAATTAATTCAAAATGAATTAAAGACTTAAATGGAAAACCTGAAACCATAAAACTCCTAGAAGAAAACAAAGGAAAAAGCTCCTTGACATTGGTCTTGGCAATGATTTTTTTGGATTTGACACCAAAAGCACAAGCAACAAAAGCAAAAATAAACCAGTGGGATTACATCAAACTAAAAAGCTTATCCACAGTTAAGGAAACAATCAACAAAATGAAAAGGCAACTTACAGAATGGGAAAAAATATTTGTAAATCAAATACCTGATGAGTTAATATCGGAAGTATATAAGGAGCTTATACAACTCAATAGCAAAAAAAACCCAAAAAACAGAAAAACAACCCACAAATATATTGATTTAAAAATGGACAAAGGACCTGAACAGACATATTTCCAAAGAAGGCGTACAAATGGCCAACAGGTACATGAAAAGGTTCTCAGCAACACTAATCATCAAGGAAATGCAAATCAAAACCGCAATCATAATCTGTTAGGACAGCTTTTATGAAAAAGATGAGAGATAACAAGTGTTGGCAGGGATGTGAAGAAAAGGGAACCCTGCGCACTGCTGGGGGGAATATAAATTGGTACAGCCACTACAGAAAATACTGGGTTAGCAAAAACTTCGTTAGGGTTTTTCCGTAAGATGTTACGGAAAAACCAGAACAAACTTTTTGGCCAACTCAATAGTATGGCATTCCCTCAAAAAATTAAAAATAGAACTACTGTATGATCCAGCAATTCTACTTCTGGGTATATATCCTGAAGGAAGCAAAATCAGCATCTTGAAGAGATATCTGTACTCCCATGTTCACTGCAGTATTTATTCACAATAGCCAAGATGTTGAAGTAACCTAAGTGTCTGTCCACAGATGAATGGATAAAGAATGTGTGGTGTCTATACATACAATGGAATATTATTCAGCTATGAGAAAGAAGGAAAACCTGCCATTTGCAACAAAATGGATAAACCTAGAAGGCATTATTCTGAGTGAAATAAGCCAGACAGAGAAAGACAAATTCTGTATGATCTCACTTATATGTGGAATCTGAAAAAAAAAAAAAAAGTTGAACTCATAGAAACAGAGAGTAGAGTGGTGATTACCAGGTGTCAGGGGGTGGGGGAAATGAGGAGATGCTGGTCAAAGGTGGCAAGCCTTCATTTATAAGATGAATACATTTCTGAGCCTAATGTACAACATGGTGATTGTCGTTAATAATACTGTATCCTATACTTAAAAGTTGCTAAGAGAGTAGATCTTAAACATTCTCACCACACAGTACACAAATGGCAACTACGTGAAATGATGGATGCATTACTTAACCTGATTCTCATAATCATTTCATGATATATATGTATATCAAATTATCACATTGTACACTTTACATATATACAATTTTATTTGTTAATTAAACGCCATTAAGCTGGCGGAAAATACTAAAAACTAAATAAATAAAGTCAAGGAGCCCATGACCCTGAACTTCTCTGGTGGATTCCTATGTCCATGTGGGCTGCCTGGACCATGAAGCTTCAAGTGATCTTCTGTGAGAAGCAACAGAGATTACAGCAAGCTAGGTTCTCTTCCTTGGATCCTCATCTGAGATCCATTACAAGTAAGAACCTGTTTCCAGGAGACTGCAAGTTTTAACAGATGGCTGGAAACTGGGAGATAAGATCAAAGTTGGGAAGCCCAAGGAAAGATGGGGGGATTTGTAAGAGAGAAGATGGAAAAGCCTGTCCATGAAAAAAAAGAGGTATAGAGAAGATTACCCAATCACTAAAGACAGGGGTGGGAGACTGTTTAAAAGGGATACGCAAGGCAAAAACAACTGCAAATACAACAATAATGAAAACAACAATAAATACACTAATTCAGGCAAAAGGCATTGTTTCTTCGAGGTATCATTCAGCAGAAATTTCATGGATGTTTGCAATCTGACAGCCTTGGATTGGAAATCACCACTCTGTCACCTAAAAGCATGGACAGAAGTAATTTAAACTCTCTGAGTCTTAGTTATGCAAAGTATAATAATATCTACCTCCCAATTGGGGTAAAATATTGGCATGTAAAGTGACTGGCACACAGACAGACACACAGGACATGTTCCCTACGTAAGTTTCCTCATCTCGCGCCCATGCCCATGCCATGGGGATGTCCAGTATCCTAAGTATGGCTGCACCTTCCTGGCAACGCTGATTTCATCCAACATCCATACAGGCCCTTTACCTCCACTTGACTTTCCCAGTCTAGAGAACTGTTGATAACAATATCGGGAAAATCAGGCCAGACCTGTGAAGAGAAAAATGTTTAAAAGCAATGCACTAGATAATCTCTCTTATATAGCATTTCCTAAGAAACTATAAACCATGTCCTACAGGTGATAATTTGATTTTCTTGTAGGGTTGATCTAAAGAAAAGTGGATCTCACAATGCACAAACATTCCTTTAAAATTCCTTAACAGTGGTGACAAATACTGATGGAGAAACTGACAATTTCTGACCTCAGAGTCCAAACAGAAAAGAAAAAAAAAAAAAGTACAAACACACTAACAGTGTGGGGATTAGTGGATCACTACTCAGAACATACCTTTCCCCAAACAATGTTTCCATCATTCGGATCTTTGATGAAGACATCGTCCTCCACACCCCGTGTGAAAGGGGGATAGGGCTTTGTCTCGTTGCCAGAAATGGCTGGGTCCTGAAATCAAAGCACAGGTCAGGTGAGAAAACCAAAGCCAGGGTAGAAAAATGGAGAACTCTTCAAAAGCGGAGGCATCAGCTTCCACCTGAGCTGTAGAGCTTCTGTGAATCCAGGGAAATACACTTTTCTTACTGAACCTCAACTTCTCTACTCGTAGCATGGAAGAAAACACAAGTATAAAGCTTTCTGCACCAAATCCCATTCACTCTTCCAAACAGACTCCGCCCATTCACACAGGGACTCACCAGAATGAGGATGACCCGCATCCCATCGGCCTTCATTCGAGTAATCAGAGCTGGAAGCCCCTCAAACTCGGGGCTGAGGGTGAAGTCCAGCTGCCGCTCCATGTAGTCGATGTCCGCATACTGCACGTCCTGGAGGAGGACAAAGGAAACTTGCAAAAGCCCAGGTTCCACGTGAGAACAACGCTCCACTAACCAATGGTGAATTTCAGTCGGCATCTTTTTGATTCTTTCAAATCCCACCTCTGTTATTTGTTAGGTATTAGGTTCTGGAAAATTCACCTAATTTTCAAATTTTGAGTCGTAAAATAGAAAAAAACTAAATTTGCAAAAAATAGGATGATAATGCCGAACTGGCAAGGCTGTGAGATAAATGAAAGCAGCAGATGGAAGTGCCTTGTGAAGGGCCAATACAAGGAGCGATTGTGGCCACCACCCCATCCCCAGAGGCTGCCCCTGGTATCAGTGGCTCATACTCAGAAAAAATAACATAATGTAAACTACCCGGTACTAATACAACATGGATAGTACGCCCATTAAAACAAAACAAACAAAAGCAACTGTAATTGCTTTGGAATCACTAATCCTGGGGGTTATCAGACACAGCTTTCTTATTAAGAATAAAATATCGCACGCTATACTTTCCGTTAGTAGGAACAATCATAAACAATAGAAAAATCAATAGAATAAAATTAAGTATGTAAATGGTTTATGGGACCAATTCTCTGATTAGTGGACCCCTCTCATCTTCAAGTGAAGGTGGAGTTTGTTTCCATAATTATTTCCTCTGGAAACCAGTCCCAAGATCCCTACATTCAACCAGGCATTAGCTCAAAGCTGTGGGAACACTGGGCTGCAGTGCCAGCAAAGCGTTGGAACTGAGGTTGTAGCTACACACACAGTGGTCTGACCGAATTTGGGTCAATTTCTTTTTTTTCTTTTTTCAGTACGCAGGCCTCTCACTGTTGTGGCCTCTCCCGTTGCGGAGCACAGGCTCCAGGCGCACAGGCTCAGCAGCCATGGCTCACGGGCCCAGCCGCTCCGTGGCACATGGGATCTTCCCGGACCGGGGCACGAACCCGCGTCCCCTGCATCGGCAGGCGGGCTCTCAACCACTGCGCCACCAGGGAAACCCGGTCAATTTCTTTTAATTAAGCAAAACTACTCTCTGGGCAACATTTTTACAGTAGCAAGAATGTTTTTGACTAGATGTTGTGAAGTCATGTGAAAGAAACGGAAGCATGATCTAGCAGAAAGAGCCCTCGGGCTGACCCAATGCCCTCCTCCTTTGGCAAATCACTGTGAGTCTTCAAGTTGGGGACAATGACCCCCCCCCATATTACTACTGGGTAGGGGTGAGGCTGAGTGTGACACTGTATGAGAAAGTACTTTGTAATTTTATAGAACCTGATAAAAATCAGACAAATTAATCCAGATACAGAGACCAGGGTTGGCCATGCGGTCCCAGAGCCAGTACCCCACAGACTGACAACGTACATATGGGATCTGGGCAGCCACCATCTCATCATACAAGCTACCAATCTCAGCGTCGTTCTTGTATCCATAGCGACACAGCTGAAACCCCAAGGACCAATAAGGAACCATCACTGGCCGACCAATCAACTAGAAAATAAACAGAAAATTTAGTCCTTAAGAAGAATCTGGGTTAAAGTTGTACACAAAGTAATAAGAATATTTTTCCAGTGTCCCCAGTTAGATAATCAACAAATTCAAATCCAGAGAGAAACTAAGAGGATGCAGAGCCACTGAGATAACTTGGAGGAAGCTTCCTGCCAGACTTGACCTCTCTCCCCAGGAGTTTTGGAAAACCTGATTTTGCTCTGATTCCTAGTGGCAGACCGGCTTACTGGTTAAGAACACGAAATTCAGAAGCAACATACCAAAATGTCTGGGTGACCATATGGGATCCAGTCTCTGCTGGCTATGTGACTCTGGGCAAAAGTGGAATAGCCTCTTCTATATCTGTTTCTTCGCTTGTAAATTGAGGATAATAATATATTTGTTTCATAGTGTTTTTGTGAAGACTGAATGAGTTAACGTATGTAAAGTGCTCTGACATGCAACAAGTAATATATCAGTGACATATAGTAAGTTTTATGTCTGTGTTTGTTGCTGCTGCCAAAGCAACTGTTGGGACCACTATGACCACAACCCTCATCACCACAATCACCACCCTCACTGCCACCACCCTCACTGCCACCACCATCATCACCACCACCACCACCACCACCACCACCATCACCACTATTACCACTGTCACTACCAACCACCGCCAGTGGCACCACTACTTTTGATACCTCTGCTAGTCTGCAATGCTCTGAGAGGCTACGAATATAATGGTTATCAGGATGTATTTATTGTTCCTTATTCTATAGCCTACCTGTCTCCCAGAAAGACCAACAATTCTAGTTATCATCTAAGAACTACAGAACGTGCTGTGTAAATACTTGGTAACTAGCTGAATTCCCTCCTACCTCAGTGTACTGCTGAGTGACAAGCTCTGGAGTCGGCCCCAAGAAGACATAGAAGTCCAGAATTCCTCCTGTGGTACGGTACGTCAAGGCAGGCAAGGGCTGGAATGTCACATCTGGAAATGTAGGAAAATACCAATCAATATGGAAACCTTCAAGTGAGAAATTACCCCTGAAATTCATACATTCTCCCTCTTCCTATGCCTCCTTATTGTAGAGTACTGACAGAAGGTATTTTGTACTATACCTACACAGAATTTAAAAAGTTAAGTGAAGGTCTGCAGGGTAATCTGTGCCTGGACTTTCTTCCCTTTCATGCAATTATTACCTTATTATATGTTTTGTCCTTCTGCTCTTTTAAAATTGTTATTATCATTTTTATTTCAGAATAGTTTAAAACTTACAAGAAGTTGCAAAAATAGTACTAAGAGTTCTCTTGGACAATTCACCCAGCTTCCCCCAATGATAACTTCTTACATAACCATTGTACATTGTCAAAACCAGGAAACTGATGTTGATATAATACTATTAACTCAGGTAGAGGCCATATTCAGATTTCACCAGTTTTCACAAGCATGCTTTTTAACCCCAGTTCCTGATTTTCCATCCCCTTTCCAATATACCACGCAAATTTTCTTTACACCCTCGTACCCCCAGAGTGAGTGCTCTGACCCCCAGCTTCATCACTAATTCAAATTATATTAGTGGCTCCCACTGGCTGACCTCCAGGATACTTGGGACTTGCTTGGTTTTGCTACCCCTTCTTACGTTGTTTATGCCAAATAAGAGTTAATCCTTATTACTACACGTTACTGAATTGAAATAAACAGAACTGCTAAAGAGAATGAAGAAAAAAAATAAAAAGCACTCTCAACAAGATAGTAATTTTGACTTCAGGGGCCACATGATCAAACACATTCTAAAGTTCCCCAAGGATGACTGATTCACAAAAATAAGGGGAGATGCCAGCATCATCTTACCCATGGCGTTGCTGTTCAGCAGCAGGACCCCATGGGCATTGCCATCCTCCTCCAGTGCCATGTAGTAGGGGTGGACACCATAGGAATTCTTCTTGTACTGGGAGAGTCATGGGGAGAAGTGGCAGGAGGTTAGAAGACAAAGGGGGAAAACAGACAGAGATTGAGAAAGAAACTCAACAGATTGATTGGTAAGGTGTGTCTAGTCTTCTCTGTGAGATAAACACATAAGAAACAAAGAAAGCCGAGAATTGGCCCACTTGACTAAAAGCAGAATGTGACCATCCAAGTTGAGTGTTGGAAAGATGAAACATGAAGCATACACAGCGTGGGTGGACAGAGGCAAAGACATAGATCCCAAATGCTCTGCCCTTACCCCCGGGGGTTGGTCTCGGGAAAACATTCCCCACGTGTTCCAGTTCAAGTCTCTTCGAAAGGCTGTGTGCTCAGTTTCCCCAAAGCCGTAGAGGTACTGGGAGGGGAGGCGCGTGGAGATGCGGATGAACATGTCGTTGAAGGTGAAGCCAAGGAGCTGAGAGTCCCAACTGCAACACAAAAGGGTACGTTTGCAAAAGAAATGGGCTGTTCTAATAGCTTCAAGCAACTGACTTCTCAGGGAAATTGAACTCTTGATTTCCTCCTCCCACCCAGAACCCCCCTGTTGATCTCCCACACAAAACATAAAGTCTATACGATTAAAATAATCAGAGACTCCCTTGCTATACAAGCCCAGGAGCCAGTTCTTTCTTCTATTTTCCTCTATCACTACCTCCTTCTAGTGGTCCCTCCAGAATGCCAAATCCTATCAGTCTCACCATTTCAGCTGCCACCACTTCACAGCAGGCCTAGTTTCCACCCTTGCCCCACTACTGTCCATTTTCTACACAGCATCCAGAATGATTACTTTTTAAGCATCTCACATCATGTCAACCCGTTTGCAATTCTTCAGTGATTCTCATTGAAACATCTTGTGACGTCTTCAAGGCCATTCCTGATCTGAAGCCACCTGGACCCCAGCCTCATCTCCCCCCACTCACCTCCTTACTTACGATACTACTGCCACCACATTGGACTTTTTTCCCCTTAATAAGGCAAGTTTGCTCCTGTTTCTTGGTCTGTGCACTGACTACTCAATTTGCTTGAAATGTTCTCACTCCTCCCCCATCTCCATGGGGGAGGCTGCTTCTGCTCATCCAGGTCCTATTTCAAATGTCACCTCCTTGGAGAGACCACCTCTGACCACAGTATCAAAAGCAGTAACCTCCCCATAATTATCAATTACCCTGTTCTTTTGCCTGCATAGCAGTTGTCACTATCTCAACTGCTACATATTTTAACTTAAATCATTTTTGTTATTTCCTTAGTATTTTTTGTTATAAAAAGAAAGACCTCATCTTCTATAACCACGTACTATGGAGAAGGCACCCCATAAACATTTGTTGAAGGAATTCCTAGGTACATGCAGCTGCCTCAGGAATTATTCCCAGGGCACTAAAGATCTCATAAGAACAGAAGGAAATAACTTGTTCATGAATCTGGAAATGGACAGTGTATTGCTTTGAGCAAGATATCCCCAAGGACAATGGACCTGGCAATGATACAGGTAATCATCAATTCCAAGTCAGACTAAGAGCCATTTACATTACAGTGCCTGTACTCTTCCGGTGAATTTCAATCCCAAAAGGGTTCTTCTTAATGAGGACATCATAGAGTCGACTCTCAGAGGTGCTGGATGGAACCCTGGGTATGTTGAGAGGGACTGGAACTTCATACCGGTTGTTGTTGGGATCATAAATCTAGGACCAGAGGAAACAGATTTTAGGCAAGTATAGTTGTCTTGAAACCTATACTCTTAGTAGAAACTTGATGTCTTTGAGAAAGAGTCTGAACGCTACATTTGTCTTCTTTAAGCTCATGATACTGGAAATTTAATTAACAAATCAAAGAACAACATCACATTTACTATTTTGATCTGAGTCTGTCATATCTTTTTTTTTTTTTTTTAAAGAAGATGTTGGGGGTAGGAGTTTAGTAATTTATTTATTTATTTTTGCTGTGTTGGGCCTTCATTTCTGTGCGAGGGCTTTCTCTAGTTGTGGCAAGCAGGGGCCACTCTTCATCGCGGTGCGCGGGCCTCTCACTGTCGCGGCCTCTCTTGTTGTGGAGCACAGGCTCCAGACGTGCAGGCTCAGTAGTTGTGGCTCACGGGCCCAGTTGCCCCGCGGCATGTGGGAGCCTCCCAGACCAGGGCTCGCACCCGTGTCCCCTGCATTAGCAGGCAGACTCTCAACCACTGTGCCACTAGGGAAGCCCCTGTCATATCTCATTTTTAAAGCCTGTATTACATAAACACATTCCTTTGATATTGGTTCTACCTTGGGAAATCAGTCTGGAATTTATGAATATATTCTTTATTACTTTGTGTGTGGTGTGTGACTGTATGTGAATACCTGAAAACATTTCTGAACTGAAAAAAAATCCCCCCCAAAAAACATGATGGAATATTGCTCAGCCATAAAAAGAAACGAAATTGAGCTATTTGTAATGAGGTGGATGGACCTAGAGTCTGTCATACAGAGTGAAGTAAGCCAGAAAGAGAAAGACAAATACCGTATGCTAACACATATATATGGAATTTAAGAAAAAAAAATGTCATGAAGAACCTAGGGGTAAGACAGGAATAAAGACACAGACCTACTAGAGAATGGACTTGAGGATATGGGGAGGGGGAAGGGTAAGCTGGGACAAAGCGAGAGAGTGGCATGGACATATATACACTACCAAACGTAAAATAGATAGCTAGTGGGAAGTAGCTGCAGAGCACAGGGAGATCAGCTCGGTGCTTTGTGACCACCTGGAGGGGTGGGATAGGGAGGGTGGGAGGGAGGGAGACGCAAGAGGGAAGAGATATGGGAACATATGTATATGTATAACTGATTCACTTTGTTATAAAACAGAAACTAACACACCATTGTAAAGCAATTACACTCCAATAAAGATGTAAAAAAAAACCCATGAACTCTACTTGATTAAAATAATCATAGATATCCTTGTTAAAAATGGGGTCTAAATTGATTCACTGAGTACCTACTATATTCTTACCTGATACTGTACTAGACAGAAGGATCACTAAACTGAGTAAGACACAGTTATTGCTTTTAAGAAGTCCACATACTAATGGAAAGTGAAAGAGAGGTGCCCACACTACCTGAGTGATACATGTTAATGTAGAGCTATACAGAAGTATTGTGAGGTTATAGGAAAGGAAATGTCTAACAATGTTTCTGGAAGACTAAGACAGTTTCATGAGGGAAAAGGCTGAGTCTTAAAAAGATTTTCAGTCATTAAACAAGCACAGAATGAAAATCAAGTGCTTCCTGGCAGAGATATAAATGCAAAGGCACAGAGAATTAAAAGAAAGAGGCAAATATTTTGGAGAGGCTGCTATATAATCAGGAGGTAGAATAGGAAAGAATTAAACCTGGAAACTTGATCAAGTTCCTTTATTTCAAACCCATTAGGCGCTTACCACTTGCCAGTGTTACAGTGAGGATAGAAAGATGAAAGAGTATCATCCCTACATTAGAAGATGTGAAAGAGCTCACTGTCCAGGTTGATATCAGATTGTCAAGAACATTTCAAGCAATGCCACACTGGCCTGAGTCTTTCGTTTATTCTCTCAATAAACTTTTGAGAACTTACTATCTCCTAAGCTTTGTGTTACATTTCAGGAGCACAGAGATGAAGGGACAAATTCCTGTCCTTGAGAAACTTACAATTCAATAGTGAAAAAGATATCAAAAGCAGCCCATCGCTTGTCCTGAGATGTAATTAAATCATGGGAGAGAAAGGGATCAGTACACTCTTGTAGGTATTTCATATATCCCAAATTCAGTGTTCAGAATTGAACTCATCATTTTATTTTGCCTAAGCTCAAAGCTTTTCAGTTTTCCCATCCCAGTTAATGCCACCACCATCCATATAAAGACATAAGCTAGAAACATGGTAATCGTCTTGATGCTTCTCTCTCCCTCACAGACTACATGTAATTAATCACCAGATCCCATAATGCTACTTCTCACTCTCTCAAAGATGTCCACTTCTCCATCTCCTTTCTGTACCTGGTTTAAGCTCAGTCCCTCATCTGGATTTCCTAACTGGTAGCCTCCTAACTTGTCTCTCCTTTTTCACTCCTGACCTCCCAACCACTTTCCTTACAGTAGACACAGAAATCGTTTCAAAGTGCAATTTAGAACAGGTGTCACTGTTCCATCAATGGTCTCCAATTACACTTAGGGTAATGATCTAGTATATTGTAGCATGGCTAACTTAGAAGAGCAGACTGATTTCAGGGTTCTGTAACCTTGACTAGCAAAGAATAATGGAAATGAAAAGTGCCAAGTAGGTACTTGACACATATACTGTAAACACATACCTTAAACTGCAGCATGTTATCCTTATGGTAGGTCACATTCAGACGGAGGGAGTTCACGGGTACGGAGGGCAAAGAGGAGGCATACGAAGACTTTAAGGAGAGGACAGCTGTGGCCCCATGTAAGTCATACTGAACATCACTGACAGAGTATAGATCATTGACAAAATAGCAAAAAGGGACTCCAGGAGAACCGGATACCTGAAAAGTAAAGCCAAATCCAGCTCAGCATGAGTTCTAAGATTATCAGATATAAAGGGGCTAGAAAAGGCAATTTGCAGGGAGATAAAGATAAACCCAGTCATTTTCTTATATACTCTGGTAGTGACATCAGTTTTCATTCCTGGTCTCCATGTAAAATATTTGTAAAAAAAAGTCCCACTCCCATCCTTACCTATTCTTCACATCCAGATAAAAACTCAGGTTACTTTGGAAGTCTGTCCTTTCTATGGATTTTAAGTAGTGATATATAGGCACTGGTGCTATGCTTGTGAAATTGTAGATTAAGTGTAGAGGATTTTACAAAATTACAATGAGGTACTACCTCACAATGTTAGGAATGGCCATCATTAAAAAGTCTACAAATAACAAATGCTGGAGAGGGTATGAAGAAAAGGGAACCCTCCTACACTGTTGGTGGGAATGTAAATTGGTGTGGCCACTGTGGAAAACAGTATAGAGCTTTCTCAAAAAACTAAAAATAGAGTTGATATATGATCCAGCAATCCCACTCCTGGGCATATACCCAGACAAAACTACAATTCAAAAAGACACATGCACCCCTATGTTCATAGCTGCATATTCACAATAGCCAGGACACAGAAACAGCCTAAATGGCCATCAACAGAAGAATGGATAAAGAAGATGTGGTACATATACACAATGGAATACTACACAGCCATAAAAAAGACTGAAATAATGCCATTTGCAGCAACATGGATGGGCCCAGGGATTATCGTACTGAGTAAAGTAATCAGACAGAGAAAGACAAATACCATATAGTATCACTTATATGTGGAATCTAAACCATGACACAAACAAACCTATCTACAAAACAGAAACAGACTCACAGACATAAAGAACAGACTTGAGGTTGCCAAGGGGGAGGGGGGTGGGGGAGGGATGGATTGTGAGTTTGGGGCTAGCAGATGCAAGCTGTTATATAGAAGATGGATAAACAACAAGGTCCTACTCTATAGCACAGGGAACTATATTCAATATCCTGGGATTTTAATGTACATTAACACCGTCACTATGGTTACCTCCCAGACACAGCCGCGGGCAGTACAGTTTTCTGCAGAAGCACCATTCTCATCAGGATAACAGTCTATTTTTTCTGCATCCCTAATCTTCACATCCCACTCCACCGTGTATATTCCTCCCAGGACAAGATCAATTTCTGTGATAAGGGCCACCTGTAAGAATGGGAAAGTATCAAGCAAATGTACCCTCAGGACAAAGACCTTGTAAGGTCTGAAACTTCTTTTAGGAAAGAAAATAGAATCAGACCAGACTCTCAACAATCTAAGCAACACAGCACTGGAGTTTACACAAAGAGAGAGAGGGCAGAGATCTAACCAGTAACCACAGGGGAAATGGCACAATTCTATCAGAATTTGTACATAACATTTTGAAAAGAATCAGGTCAACTACAACCTTCTGTAATCACCCCTTTCTTTCCTCCCCTGACTCCTCTTCTGTTCCTTATTTTGTCAGGAAGGCTCTCTTCTGCAGCCCCCTTGTAGCACAGCACACACAAGCACGTGGTGTCACCCCATACTGAGCTCATCATTTTGTCCTCCATTCCCCAAACAGCATTCCCCATTGGTCTGGAGTAGGGGCAAGAACACAAAAATAAGAATCATGTGTGGCCTGGGTTCTCCCCTCCATTCCACTGTGGAAACTTAGACAAACTATTTCAATTCCTCGGGTCTCAGTTTCACCAACTGCAAAATTGGTGAGTTGGCAAAATCATTACATTTCCTTCCATTTCTAACATCCCAGCCTCTTAATTTCCCCAAGCCCAGAGCCTCAAGACTTGAAATTTTCTTTGAGTCCCATTCCCTAATTCAAACATTTAATATTTTTCTATGTGTTTTTCTTATGGTCATCTCCTCTTTAATTAGTAATTTCCATAGTGAAAGTTCTCATTTGTCTAGAGGCATATCATCCTTCTTCCAGCCTCTCCCCAGTCTACATTCATCTTGCTCTTCCCTGTACCTCAAACCCCACCCCAGAACAACGCTCTCACAATGGCACATATTGACTCAAGGATCAATATGAGACCCTTTGAGAATCAGATCAGATCCTTCTTATTTTGGCACCTAAAACCCTCCAAAATCTGACAAGTTAATCTGTCCAAACTGATCCCCTTCCAAAAGTGGATCCTACCCATTCTAGTTATTCGGTACTCACAGACTAACAGAAGGCTATTCTTAGTCCCGAGACTGGCTTATTCTGATACTTCCACCTTGACTGCTTTATCTAAGCAAACGCCCTTTCTAGGAAAATGGTGCTTATCTGGGGAACTTACTGCTAGCTGCCTGCCCTCTGTAAAACTCCCTTCTTACTATTTCAGTTTAGAGCACTAAAGTTCTCGATTAAGAACTAATTTTTTGAAGCCATGTAACACAGCTGTGGCCATTAATAGGTAAGTGCAAGTCCATTGGCCAAGTATTTCTTTCTTGATTTAAGGGCCTGCCCCTCCCTTCCCTTCACCTTCACCTTTCCCTTTTCCTTCCAGCTTCTTCTTCTTTGTTTATTTTTATTTGTTCTCTAACAAGGCTAGAGTGACTGGAATTAAGCCACCATTTCTAATCACAAGAGAAGAAAAGACCTCAACCCTGACAACCTTGAGCCACTGAACCAATGCCAGCAACTGACTACTTCCTAAACTTCCAGTCCCATAAGGGAAAAAATCCCAATTTGTTTAAAATACCAATTTGCTGAGTCTCCTGTCACTTGCAGCTGAACAAATCTCTACCAGGTGTACCACCTTTCAAGGTCCAGCTCTAGCCCTGATGTCTCCAAAGGTTTGCTCAATTACTCCGTTAAGCTTTGAACATGAAATTGGGCAGAATATACACTAACATTTCCTAGAGGGTTGGGTTGCCTGTCCCCTTCCCGATAGTTTCACGTGTTTCTCCACCACCTAAATTCAAACAATAAAAGAGTTCCTTTGGTTGTATATTTATTAATATATTTATCAAACATTTAATTAGTTTATTTTTATATGTGCATCTTTCAAATGGCTTGCACTTTTCTGTACACACAACTAGCCATATAATACTTTATTTCTAACTTTATAATGTATGCACCCTCAATGTATGTTGTCAAGACAAAATGTCAAATGCAACCAATATATCATTATAGTAGAAGATTAAATTTACTTATTTTCTCCAAATCTGGATGGTCCCTCACAAACCACGCTGACCCAGCAGCTCCCAATCCCAGATCATTTGGAGCACCTGTAGCAGGGGGTGTTGGGGGGAAAGGATTCCTCATAACACTAAGATTTCAGAGGAGCTGGTTACAGCCTAACCAGGAACTTCAGGCCTCATTAAAAGTGAGGAAAATTATTTTATTATTATCACCTAACCAAGTGAGTAGCCATTAGCTAAGCTTATCCAATTCTTTGACTTAAAATATTTCCTAAAAATGTATGTGTTGGAGTGAGAATCTATATAGCTCAATATAGTAAAAGAAAAAAAAAAAAAGCACCTCGAAATTTTAGTGAATGGGAATCCCACCTCCCACCTCAACCCTTCTAGCATCAATCAATCAGCAGCTTTCAGACCCGGTTTTCCTCCAATCCTGTTCCCAACACTCCTGACTTCGCTCTTCTTCTGTTCGAGTCAGAGAGGACAGAAGACTGAGGGACAGATAAGGGAATAAAGATGAACGGACCAGTTTACCTCCTCCCATGTCTCAGCAGCTCCTTTGTTAATCCCAGCTCTGGCCCACTCTTTATTTTTTTCTGTCCTAACTCTCTGACTCCCCACCCCAGTCTTCAGAGTGTGCTCTGGTGCTTCAGAAACCCATGCAGGGCTTCCCTGGTGGCGCAGTGGTTGAGAGACCGCCTGCTAATGCAGGGGACACGGGTTCGTGCCCCGGTCCGGGAAGATCCCACATGCCGCGGAGCGGCTGGGCCCGTGAGCCATGGCCGCTGAGCCTGCGCTCCGCAACCGGAGAGGCCGCAACAGTGAGAGGCCCGCGTACCGCAAAAAAAAAAAAAAGAAAAAAGAAACCCATGCAACCTTGGCAAGAAGGTTCATAAGCGATGAAGAATTCTTTACAAACTATCTCAACAAAATGGGGTTTTACCTGGAGGTTAGAATCATAAGTGACATTAGGAGAAACTTGAATTTCGACACCGTTGTGTTTCACTATAACATTGGTAGGTTCCTGGGTCCCAAGGATTTTAATCTCTTTAAATGCTAAATTATTGGGGTCTGTGTAGGTTGATTGCAAAATCTTCACATCCAAGCGGTTCTGCAAAACAGTTAAGTACAAAGATCTTCCTTAAATACACAGATTCTCAAATCACTCCAATACTTCATCCTAGACCGGATATTCAAAACTGCTCCAAATGGCTCTTAGCTGTCTCTACTAATGTGTGCTCAAGTACAAACTTATTTTTCCCCTGAGGGGGGCGGAAAAAGGAGAGAGAGAAACACACATACAGAGACAGAAATTTTTTAAAACTTCGTTTAAAAAGACTGCTTTGATTTATCCATATCTTTGCCTCTTTTTACTAACATTAATGATTCAATTATTAGGTGTTAAGTCATAAAGTGAAATGTGGTCACCTATTGTCATAAATGAAGCTACAAATAAAATTACACACATACACAAACACATATGAGCTAACGGTCAGACAAAAGCCCACACTTAAGATTCATAAAAATATACTACTCACTTGGGTGACGGAGAACTCACATAAGAGGTAAACTTTATTGGCCACAGTATCTGAAAGTGAGATTAAAACAAGTCAGACTCTGGCCTGCCCACTACAGAAGGACAGATTTCATCCTGGCACTCCTTGAAGCTACACGTTGAGAATGACAAGATTAGAGAGAGAGTGTCCAAGGCCAAGACACTGTTTTCACTTTTCCTTCCTACCTTAACCTTGAAAAGGTTCCCTTCCAAGTGCTTCCAAGGCATATGCCTCAAGCGAAGCTATTTCCTAAGCTTGAGCCACAAGAATCTTTAATGTATTGGAGACAGATTAAGAAGCATGGCTAGATTCGGGTGCACTAGAAAGGTGTCTTCTCACTGCCTGACTAGCACAGGTAGGTTTTACACATCATCCACGTTTGTTCATAAGTATTTGGAGGGAAGATGTGTGCACTGAATGGCAGAAACAGTCTAGAAAACATTTCTTTCAGGTGCCCTTTGATAATAAAATGAGAGCCTATATATGCAGCTGGCCAGTGGGAGAATTCTAAGAGGTAGAGATGTGTTTTCCTTCCACCTGTGGTCCAACTACCCTATTCCTGAACAGCACAACTGAAATCAAAATTCTCCTCTCGAGTGATTAATGTTACTGGGCCTGGTGAGATTTCTCCCACCGCTGAATGACCAGCAGGAGTAACTCGAGGATGCAGGTTTGGAAACGGCAACATTGTGCTCACCTTTCGTTTCCCCATCATCCCAGAAAAGTTCGCCTTTTGCTTCTTTGTTGTCATCCAGGGCAATGATAAGACCAAGAGGGTTCCTTCGACTGTGAGAAACAAGATTTATGTGAGAGGCAAAGACTTGGGACTCAAAGAATTTTGCTAAATGAGCTGTGAAGGAGTCTATCAGATTTCAAATGGGACAGGTCACTAGCAGCAGATGGCTCTGCTTTTCTTCAGGCACAAAGGCAAAAGCAACAGGGGCATCACTTTCTAGAATGGGTAATGTCACAGGCGAGAGCAACACTCCAAACATTAGCAATAAACATCTATGAAGGAGGCAAGAATTTAATCACCAGGATCACTGCAATAGCTACAATAAAACCTGCTGATGCTATTATTATTTTGAATACAGACTATTAGAAGAGAAAGAAATCCGAGACAATAATTGGTTCAGCCTAATCATTTTACAGCTGATACATGCAGGAGAAGTATTAACTGCAGTCAGGGGGATATATTTGTTCCCTGCCTAAGAACCATGTTGACTCAGAAAGCAAGAAAATACAATAAGGTCCATCTATATAATGGCAATTTTCCTAATTTGATTATTTATTATCAGTTCATTTCGAGAGAGAAAAAGAGAACATTCTAATTATCTGCTTTATAACTCAGAATATAAAACACAAAACACTACTCAAAAGATGCTGAAATAGATGCACATAGAGAAAGAGGGAGAAAGAAGGAGCAACTGCATTTAAATCTCTCCTTATTCCACCCCTCCTCTAGACCACCTCCCGATTTCCTACTCCTGTTGCATCCCTCACACTCCCTATTATATTCTTTCATAGGTCAGCCTTCCACTGTGCCCTGTGCAAGCCAGGTTCCAGGGTCAACAAAATCACCTGCTTTCACTTAACATGCATGTACTGAGTAGCTTTCATTGCTAGGAAGTCTAAGAGATACAAAAACAAATAGACCAGAACGACATTGATGACCTTAAATATGGTAAGAAAGATTAAACATATTCACCAAATAGTCCAAACAGAAAGTAAAGAGTGGCACAAAAGTTAAAATCCTTACAGGAGTCCACAGTGACACTTGGAGCAGTAGGTGGCCTAGATATTCTTGAGGACACTGCATACTCTTAAGGGCTCACCCACTACAATACTACTTGGCCCTAGATAAATTAAACACATGGTCCCTGAAGGGTGCTAACGTGAAACCCAAGTTGACAGCAGTCCTGGCTTGCGACCAAAGAGCAGGCTAATCCTCTCTGGGGGAATGAGACCTATTTGGATCCTTGAGATCGCCACATTTGAAAAACCAAAAAATTACTAAATACACGAGGTAACAAGCCAACATGAAAGAAAGTTGGCAAAAACAACTAACAATAGATTTAGATTCCACTAAGGATTTCAGATAATAGAATTTTCAGTTACAGAGTATAGAATAACTATGACTGAAATACTTAACAATATTAAGGGAAAAAATGTATTAAAAAATGACCAGAGAGTTGGAAGTGGCAGCACACCCTCTGCTGGAATTGTTGGGGAAGATTTCTCGCAGATGAAATCAGAGTGTAATTTGGAAGATGATTAAGAATGTATCAGGCAAAGAATGCTGAAAAGGGTAAGAAGTGCTGAAGCCCAGATGCAGGGAAAGAGATGAGTATGTTTGGAGAATAACAAGATTTTTGGCATGGCTGTTCTATAGGTGTGTGGTAAGGTGTGTCAGGAGACACAGGTTAACTTGAAACCAGATTATGATTGGCCTTGAACAACCTACTAATGATAGAATTTAGACTTTAACCTGGGAAGCAACAAATTGAGATCTTCACTTTGGAAAGACAATTTTGGTATCAGTGTGCAGAAGAGCATGAAGCTGAATAGTTAGAGAAAAGGAACCCAGGTGGTATTTGGATATATAAGTATTTTCCATCAGTATCACAAAAGTTTAAACTTGAAAAATTATGGCAGTAAGGAAGGTTCAAAAGAAAAAGACTTCTAACCTCCAAAAAACCACATCTATTAAAAGCAAATTAGCTAATACATTTAGAGACACAGATGTGAATGTGTGCCTCTTTAGTACAGATGGAGTCTATATTTTGAGCATCAAAGAATCATCAAGGAGAATGAGTGACATGAAGGAGATTTGAAGTGCACAGGAAGTAATTTTTGAACCCCGTTTTGCATCACAAGAAAGAAATGGCTCAGTGGGAAGAAAGAAACAGGAAATTGAGATTATAGGGGAGTGGAAAGTGGACCCCACTCCCTAGAAATGAGAATGAGGAGTCGAGTGCATAGCATGGTAGAATGATGGTCTGATAAAGGCAGATGGAGTGATCAACAGACCCCGTTTGCCCGGAATTGAGATGTTTCCCAAAACATGAGATTTTAGGGCTAAAACTGACATATTCCTAGGAAAACTAGGAAGGTTCACCACCCTCGGGGGGGGGGGGGTTAAGTCGGGGGGTTAAGGAAGGACAGGATTAAGGTCTTTCAAAATCCATTTGGATGCAGCTCTAAATCACAGCTTCCCCAGAAGAGGCCCACAGAAATCGAGGGAACAGAGTTTGATGACCACACACACACACACACACACGCACACACACACACACGCACATGCCCTTCCTCCCCACATTCCACGTAATGCTTCAGCATCTTCTACATGGGCAACAGATGGGAACAGAAACAACTAGGTTTGTCAGCTTCCCCCTTAAAGGAAACCTCCCAGCCATGCTATACCTGGCCACAGTGGTTGTGGCTGGCTGCTGTGTGGGGAAGATGTAGCCTCCTCGAAGGTGAAGTCCAATTTTGTCTCCAGGAAGTTCCATCTCCACTTTTTGCTTCCTCCATTTCACTCGGCCCCCCTGACACACGTAGACAAATCAAACACAGTGGCATGAGCACATCACCGCTACCTCTTAACCACACGCGGAGTTATCTCCAGCTCTTTCCTTCTCCCACCTAGTTGAATTGCTAGCTAGTCAGGCATCAAGCAAGAAAAGGAAAAGAATTTAGGAACAATGGGTTTTGTGATCAGCTGGGCGCCTGGGGAACATATATCACGCTGAGGCTATTTGACATACATTATACAAACTGATAGTTTTCTGAACAAGAATCTCACTTATAACCAGGCTCAAATTGTCCATCGGCCCCAACATTTGCCCATGAGACACTCTACTTCCATCTTTATCTTGCTGCTGAATAAAGTATATGAAAGTATCTTTTTCAGATTTCATCATGACTGATGTCGAGTGACTTCGTCTCACTTTATTGACTCTGCTATGAAATCACTGCAAACACGACAGAAACATTCCTCAGTGCATGGATAGATGTTTCTGTCTACCCAGACGTATCTTGTTTATGCAGCTTGAAGAGTTTAAGAAAAGTCAAAGCTACTTACAGTCTCATAGTCATACCAGACGGCATCAGGCACATATGCTGTCACTTTCTCTGCACCCTGAAATTAAAACAAACTACTGTCCTTTATGGCCCAGCCTCTGAAGGGGATAAAACTTCTTAATCACATACTCAGAATGCATAAATGGCCTTTCTTTTCTCTACCAACTTGTGCTTTTCTTCTAACAGAGGCAATAACCTTGCCACTCAAAGAAAAATCCCAGATGGAACCATATTAGGAATAATAATCATAGTATTGAAATAGGTGTTGTGGTAAAAATTCCAGCTTTAGAGGCACAGAAGCAGATGTGATGACAGCGAGGCAGGGAGACAGAACAAGGAATGCGGGCAGCCTCTAGAAGGTGGAAGAGGCACGGAAATGGATTTCTCCCTTAGTGCCTCTAGAAGCAACCGGCCCCATCAACATGGTGATTTTAGCCCAGTGAGCCCCATATTGGGCTTCCGACCTCCAGAAATGTAAGATAATAGATTTTTGTTGTTATGAGCCACTGCATTTGTGGTAGTTTGTTACAGCAGCGACAGGAAACTAATACAGCCTCTCTAGACACAAACCAGACCAGTTAGCAGAGTCAACTGCAGCCAGGTGGAAAACAGGAAGAAGGACACGACGGTGCATAGAAGTGATGAAACAAGAACCAGGAAAATCTGGGACTCCCTTCACTGGTTGAGAGGCAAGTTCTGCTTGGAGGAAAGGAAGTGAAGTGCCGTGAGCCATCAGTGCTGTGAAGCTGGGCTTGAGAAGGCAGGGCTGGAGGGTGGGATTTTGAATAATTAAAAAAAAATTCCAGCTTTACACTGCGTACCTCATTTAATCTTCCCAATACTCTCCAGTGATACATACTATTATTATCTCATCTTACAGCTGAGGAAGCAGCACATAATTTCCCCCAGATGGCACTGGTACCAAGTGGCAGAGACAACAAACACACCCAGATCACCCTGACCTTAGAGTGAGTGCTGGGTCACTGCTCCCTCCTGCCTCTGCATCCTGGAACAAGTCATGATCTGCTATGAGAATCTGACAACACATAGGACAATTCTTAAACCCAGAGTCACCCGTAGATGCTTCTATACTGATTGGAAACTTGGTCAAGGACAAAAGACTTCTAGCGACAAAAATGTGTACCCATCAAATACCCATCTTCCCCGAACTCCAACACACCGTCTTCAAGGCTGCCCCAGCCACAGATGTTGGAAATGGGTTTGGAATAGAAAGAGGACAAATGGTTCCAAGAAGAGAGGAGTCTGGAGTTACCAGGAGCAAGACCAGAGACCACCAGCGTGTCTCGGCGGGAACACTTGCCTCAGCCAGAACCGGAGTGATGAGGAGGCCGGGCCCCCATAAAAACTGTTGCTGCACATCCCAAGTGTTGCTGTCCTCGTAGAACCTAGACACCAGAGAAATGTTCAATGACATTTGGGCCGGTGCTTTCTGGCAGCTCTCCCCCAAGCCTGTCTAAAACTTGCAGGCTCCCTGCCTGGGGCAAATTCCCAAAATTATTCCGTGACACCTATTCAATCCCTGTCTCCCCACTCCTGCAGGCAGATCCACTTTCCCTAGCCCCTGCACCCTCCTATTCTTTCCCCAATTTGGACAGAAGTCCCTATTTCAGTATCTCTATGCTAGGCAGGTTCCAGGCTATAATTCTATTTGTCATATCTCCCTTAAAAAAATAAGTAAAACAAGCAAGACATTTTAAAACTTCAGCTGACTATCCAAAAGGAACTAGATCTGATCACCCAAAAAAAGCAGACAAAAACTTTACTCTTTTCTCTTTTAGGATACCTACCTTTAATAGAGAATTCTGGGAGACAGCAAGAACTTACCCACAATAATGAATATATAATATATATTATAATAATATATGCCTGAGGGCCTAAAATGTCAGACACAGAAGGGAATTAACTGTATTTTGATTTTGACAAGAAAAAGTCTCTTTTTCGTAGACTATAAAATTATTTTGTTAATTTTTAATAAGCGAGACCTGGGTTACTTTTTTCTTTTTCTATGATATGACCAACATAGACCTCAAAGATGCCCCCATTGATGTCCAGCAAGTATATCCTCCAATATCCAAGCACTTTGACTTTCAGAATATCTGTGCTCAAAACTGTTAGAATGAATTCACTTAAAAGCCAACTAATAAAACTGGTTGAGGCTTTTATCTACATAGCATCAAACATAGTTCAACCTAATATCTCTATTTTCATGCTTTTTTTTTTTTTTGCATCATGTACACAGAGCATTACTGTTCCCACTGTTCAAGCCCTGAGAAATGCTACCAAAGGCATGAGCGACTGCGGCAGGGTCCTCGCCTAAATCACAGCCTCCGTCTCAAGCCAGTTCCGTATACTTCCCAGCACCATCTTCAATCCTCGGGTTTCTAAACAAGGCTTCCGGCTCCTTATTCTGCCAGGGCCGGTCATAAGAAAGCAAACCCCACTGCAGAGCTACTCACTCTGCAGCCACCAGAGGGTCCCACAGCATTAGCTAGGAAGCGAGGACACACCCTCTCCTACTACAAATCTCCACCAAGCTTAAATTTCCCCGGTGCCTCACAGCAGCTTCCCCGAGATTCCCAGCCCCGAAACAGGATTGCCTGGAAACCCCAGAACTATTTGCCGGCTAATATTATAGAGGCATCAGTTCATACTAAGTGGCCAACTTTAAGGAAAGTCTCTTAAGTGTTCTTTTTTTAGAGTCAAATTAGAGATACTCATTGGCTGACAATAAAAATTCTGAATTCAGGAAAATCCTCCATACTATTCTTATTAGTACGTAAATGACCTAGAGCTGGAACATGGTGCATTACAAAAGCGACCATCAGGTTCAAGCTATCAAATCCTTTAAATTAAGGTTAAAGAAACTAAGGATGAAAGAACTTAAACGATTTGTCTAAGGTATAGAGTTAGTTGGTGGAACAAAGACCCCAAATTCCACAACTTTTAGTCTAGTTGTCTCCCCAAAAGGGAACAGGCTATAATACTTAAATATACCTAAAATAGTACATAGGCAGCAATAGCCTTGCAAATACCAACTCGTTATTCAAGTTAAAAAAATATATCTGAGTAACTGTTTGGATTGTTTTAATTTCACTCATTTTCTTTGCAGTACGCGGGCCTCTCACTGTTGCGGCCTCTCCCGTTGCGGAGCACAGGCTCCGGACGCGCAGGCCCAGCAGCCATAGCTCACAGGCCCAGCTGCTCTGCAGCATGTGGGATCTTCCCGGACTGGGGCACGAACCCGTGTCCTCTGCATCGGCAGGCGGACTCTCAACCACTGCGCCACCAGGGAAGCCCCAATCATTATTTTTTTAATATTTGTTTATTCATTTAGGATGCTGCCGGTCTTAGTTGCAGCTCACGGGATCTTCGTTGCGGCATGTAGACTCTTAGTTGAGTGAGAATTCTTGGTTTTGACTTGCATGCAGGATCTAGTTTCCCGACCAGGGATTGAACCCAGGCCCCCTTCATTGGGAGTGCAGAGTCTTACCCGCTGGACCACCAGGGAAGTCCCTTCACTCTTATATTTGATGATACAGTCAATGTCACCCAGTTACATTAACAAAATTCCTTTGGGCTAGGTGAACTTACTCATGCAGAAGGGGCCTGGCCACCGTGTCCCCCTGGCTGTGAGCACGGTAGAAGAGGGTGTAGAGATAGGGCAATAGAGCATAGCGGATGGTAAGGTAGTGCCTGGAGGAATTCAACAGCAGAGAGTCAGCTCCAAAGGAGGCAGGATCCTGGGCCTGGGAAGAAACAAGAGGTTGCAATTGACACCTGGTTACAAATAAGAAAAGCCTCTGGAGATATCAGACCCCATTCATCACAACCAAGAGTTTTGTTCCTGCAAGACCTGGGGCCTACCTTGCAAACTTTGCCTCTGAGCAGTAGGGTTGGGCAAAGGGAGATCATTCCACCAAGTTAAGTGGCCATTCTTCACCCTGCACTGCATCCCCCCTCATTCATTCTATGGGTGCTCTCAGTAGACTGCCATTTAAATAACTTTGAAGTATTTCCTCATTTGATTTTCACTACAAAATGAGCAATGCAAATAAAGTGTATAAAGGTTTGATTAAAAACCTTCACACACTCGCCATTTCCTTGACTGCCGCGGTAGAGATAGCAGGGGTTGTGTCAGCAGAGGGCATTTTAATGGTGCATCATGAGTCCTGGTTAATTGCAAACGGTGGTCCCAATTAGCCTAAGTGAAGCACCAGGTAGGAAGTTGGCTCAACAGATTTCTCGGACAGGATGCAGGTAGATCCAGTCCTAATGTATGCCAAGTCTATTTTGATCATATTTCCTGGGAGACTTACCTTGTAGCCTTGGCCATTGTGATTCCTGGAAAATGGATAGAATGCTCCCAGCTGCATCCACCTCCTGCAGAGCTCTTCGGGAGCATCCAATGTAAAGCCACATATGTCAGAACCCACCTGGAAGGACACACAGACAGCGACGGCATGTGTACCTCACTTCCATTACCACCCCCTGCTCCTGGGCTTTGCTTTCTACCAGGGACCTACCAGCTGTACTTGGCTGTACTAACCTCTTCCTGAGAAGGCTACTTCTGTGTGATGGAACTGGGCTAAATCCTATGTCCACTCTGTACTGCCAGGTGAATGCAAATGAATTACTTAACCCTTCTGTGCCTCAGTTTCCTCATTTTGTTAAAGTGGGCACTCTAGGGTTTTAGTAAATGAGATAATGGAAGTAAAACACTTGATGCACAATAGTTTTTTGGTGAATAGCAACTAGAAATACCATTGATATTATTACTTTGACCACAGCACTAGGAGAATTAATTTTCCAAAGCCTAATTCTGATCAGGTCATTCATCTATTCAAAAATCCCCAGGGTCTCCTGTTGCCTGCCCTACTAGCACCTCAAAACCTGGTTCCAACCCACCTTTCCAGCATCATTTCTCATTTCAGTCCTACACTCCAATCCTTAGGGACACTCAAATTCTGCCCCTTGCTGGTCTCAGTCTTAAAATTTCTCAGTCTTAAAATGACCTCCCCCCCATCAGTCTGATAAAACATACCCACTTTCAAGGTTAAACTCAAGTGCCATCTTTTGCATGAAGTTACTATTTACTCCCTCCCAGGACTCCCATTTTTCCTTGTAATCTTGTTACAGTTGTTAAGTACTTTTCTCAGGATTTCTTTTAACATTTAAATGATATGTTCCTGTTTGCACTTTTACCCTAGCTTGTCATAATTATGTGTGTGTGTGTGTGTGTGTGTGTGTGTGTGTGTGTGTGGAGAGAGAGAGAGAGAGAGAGAGAGAGAGAGAGAGAGAGAGAGAGAGACTTTGGGGATGTGCGGAAGGTGTTTCTGTTACTGTATTTATGTTTCTCTCCACCCTCACCATGCATACCTAGCTCAATGCCTTGCTCGAAGTAAGAGCTCAATAAACAGATATGCTGAATTTAACTAAAAGATGCCAACTGTAACCTTAAGGACATGTGCACTTTTTTGTGTGTATGTTGCACTTAAAAAAAAAATATTCCAACACTATCACTTCAAGCTTGCACCTTCTATCCTTATAAGGCAGTACAGGAAAGAATGTCGTGGTATCAGTGTCATACTGATGTGGATGAAGCACATAACCCTCCAGACTTTAAATCCCTGGGCCATGGAGGGCAGTAGAGGGGAGCTTTATCATTTGAAAAACTTCTAGCATGAGGCATTCTGGGGACTGGGATGTGGACTCACCATTGGGATACCAAAAAGGCTGAACTCGAGCATGCCAGGGATGGACCATCGAAGGTCATTCCAGGTGGCTGCGTTGTCTCCTAACCAGTGGGCTGCAAACTTGCCAGACCCCGCAAAGGTAGAACGGGTTAAAATGAAGCTTCTCTTGTTAGGGAACACAGTCTTGACAGCTCTAGAGAGGGAGAGAGACTTAGGGAGTCAATGTGTGACCTTAGCGTGCCTTAGCCCAGAGGATAGAGTGATAATATCGAGGATCTCAAGTTAATACCGCACTCTTCTCTTCTAGTTCTCTCCTGTAGAGTTACAGTTGCTGTTGGGAGCAGACTGTACCATTGAGTATGTTTATATTTTGTTTTGTTTTAGGCATTATGTACAATTATGTACATTATTAACTCCATAATTTCAAAGTTCAGTAGAAGGATACTGAGCCAGTACCTAAAACCCCAAAGCACATGAAGTCTATAAGTTACTTAACCCTCCATACACCAGTCTATAACAGTATGGCAGAGAGGAAAATACATGGGCCTTGGACTCATGCAGAAATGAATCCAAATTTTGCTCTTACATTTTATTAGCTGTTTCACCTTGGTCAAATTACTTCCCTTTCTTCCAACCTTTCATTCATTCATTTATTCATTCTTTCTTTCATTATACACAGTACACAAATACTTATTAGATTCCTTCCTCCCAATGTGACCAGGATTTTCTTCATTCATTCAATAATAACAACCATACTTATCTTGCCGAATTTTGTTTTTACATTCTTTTTTCTGTATTGCTGGTTTATTTTTTTTTAATATAGCAAGTTCTTATTAGTTATCTATTTTATACACATCAGTGTATACATGTCCATCCCAACTTCCCAATTCATCCCACCACCACCACCCTGCCTTCCCCCCTTGGTGTCCATACATTTGTTCTCTATATGTGTCTTCATCTGTACCATTTTTCTAGATTCAACATATATGCGTTAATATATGATATTTTTCTCTTTCTGACTTACTTCACTCTGTATGATAGTCTCTAGGTCCATCCACGTCTCAACAAATGACCCAATTTCGTTCTTTTTTATGGCTGAGTAATATTCCATTGTATATATGCACCACATCTTCTCTATCCATTCGTCTGTTGATGGGCATTTAGGTTGCTTCCATGACCTGGCTATCATAAATAGTGCTGCAAAGAACATTGGGGTGCATGTGTCTTTCTGAATTATGGTTTTCTCTGGGTAAAGGCTCACTAGTGGGATTGCTGGGTCATATGGTAATTCTATTTTTAGTTTTTTAAGGAACCTCCATGCTGTTCTCCATAGTGGCTGTATCAATTTACATTCCCACCAACAGTGCAAGAGGGTTCCCTTTTCTCCACACCCTCTCCAGCATTTGTTTGTAAATTTTCTGATGATGCCCATTCTAAATGGTGTGAGGTGATACCTCATTGTAGTTTTGATTTGCATTTCTCTAATAATTAGAGATTTTGAGCAGCTTTTCATGTGCCTCTTGGCCATCTGTATGTCTTCTTTGGAGAAATGTCTATTTAGGTCTTCTGCCCATTTTGGATTGGGTTGTTTCTTTTTTTAATATTGAGCTGCATGAGCTGTTTATGTATTTTGGAGATTAATCCTTTGTCTGTTGATTCGTTTGCAAATATTTTCTCCCATTCTGAGGGCTGTCTTATCGTCTTGTTTATAGTTTCCTTTGATGTGCAAAAGCTTTTACGTTTCATTAGGTCCTATTTGTTTATTTTTGTTTTTATTTCCATTACTCTGGGAGATGGGTGAAAAATAATTTGCGGTGATTTATGTCAAAGAGTGTTCTTCCTATGTTTCCCTCTAAGATTTTTACAGTGTCTTGTCTTACATTTAGGTCTTTAATCCATTGTGAGTTTATTTTTGTGTATGGTGTTAGGGAGTGTTCTAATTTCATTCTTTCACATGTACCTGTCCAGTTTTCCCAGCACCACTTATTGAAGAGGCTGTCTTTTCTCCATTGTATATCCTTGCCTCCTTTGTCATAAATTAGTTGACCATAGGTGTGTGGATTTATCTCTGGGCTTTCTATCCTGTTCCATTGATCTCTATTTCTGTTTTTGTGCCAGTACCATACTGTCTTCATCACTGTAGCTTTGTAGTATAGTCTGAAGGCAGGGAGCCTAATTCCTCCAGCTCCATTTTTCTTTCTCAATACTGCTTTGACTACTCAAGGTCTTTTGTGTTTCCATACAAATTATGCAATTTTTTGTTCTAGTTTTGTGAAGAATGCCATTGGTAGTTTGATAGGGATTGCACTGAATCTGCAGATTGCTTTGGATAGTATAGTCATTTTCACAATGTTGAGTCTTCCGATCCAAATACATGGTATATCTTTCCATCTGTTTGTATTGTCTTTAATTTCTTTCATCAGTGTCTTATAGCTTTCTGCATACAGGTCTTTTGTCTCCATAGGTAGGTTTATTCCTAGATATTTTATTCTTTTTGTTGCAGTGGTAAATGGTAAACATTTCCTTAATTTCTCTTTCAGATTTTTTGTTGTTAGTGTATAGGAATGCAAGAGATTTCTGTGCATTAATTTTGTATCCTGCTACTTTATCAAATTCATTGATTAGCTCTAGTAGTTTTCTGGAAGCATCTTTAGGATACTGTATGTATAGTATCTTGTCATCTGCAAACAATGACAATTTTACTTCTTCTTCTCCAATTTGTGTTCCTTTTATTTCTTTTTCTTCTCTGATTGCTGTGGCTAAAACTTCCAAAACTGTTGAATAATAGTGGTGAGAGTGGGCAACCTTGTCTTGTTCATAATCGTAGAGAAAATGGTTTCAGTTTTTCACCACTGAGAATGATGTTGGCTGTGGGTTTGTCATATATGGCCTTTATTATGTTGAAGTAGGTTCCCTCTAGGCCCATTTTCTGGAGAGCTTTTATCATAAATGGGTGCTGAATTTTGTCAAAACCTTTTTCTGCATCTATTGAGATGATCATATGGTTTTCATCCTTCAATCTGTTAATATGGTGTATTACATTGATTGATTTGCATATACGGAAGAATCCTTGCATTCCTGGGATAAATCCTACTTGATCATGGTGTATGATCTTTTTAATGTGTTGTTGGATTCTGTTTGCTAGTATTTTGTTGAGGATTTTTGCATCTATATTCATCAGTGATATTGGTCTGTAATTTTCTTTTTTTGTAGTATCTTTGTCTGGTTTTGGTATCAGGATTATGGTGGCCTCATAGAATGAGTTTGGGAGTGTTCATTCCTCTGCAATTTTTTGCAAGAATCTGAGAAGGGTGGGTGTTAGCTCTTCTCTAAATGTTTGATAGAATTCACCTGTGAAGCCACCTGGTCCTGGACTTTTGTTTGTTGGAAAATTTTTAATCACAGTTTCAATTTCATTACTTGTGATTTGTCTGTTCATATTTTCTATTTCTTCCTGGTTCAGTCTTGGAAGGTTATACCTTTCTAAGAATTTGTCCATTTCTTCCAGGTTGTCCATTTTATTGGCATAGAGTTGCTTGTAGTAGTCTCTTAGGATGCTTTGTATTTCTGCAGTGTCTGTTGTAACTTCTCCTTTTTCATTTCTAATTTTATTGATTTGAGTCCTCCCTCTTTTTCTTGTTGAGTCTGGCTAATGGTTTATCAATTTTGTTTATCTTCTCAAAGAACCAGCTTTTAGTTTTATTGATCTTTGCTATTGTTTTCTTTGTTTCTATTTCATTTGTTTCTGCTCTGATATGTATGATTTCTTTCCTTCTACTAACTTTGGGTTTTGTTTGCTCTTCTTTTTCTAGTTCCTTTATGTGTAGGGTTAGATTGTTTATTTGAGATTTTTCTTGTTTCTTGAGGTAGGACTGTATTGTTATAAACTTCCCTCTTAGAACTGCTTTTGCTGCATCCCATAGGTTTTGGTTTGTCGTGTTTTCATTGTCATTTGTCTCTAGGCATTTTTTGGTTTCCTCTTTGACTTCTTCAGTGATCTCTTGGTTATTTAGCAACGTATTGTTTAGCCTCCCTGTGTTTGTGTTTTTTACATTTTCCCCCTGTAATTTAATTCTAATCTTATAGCATTGTGGTCGGAAAAGATGCTTGATATGATTTCAATTTTTCTTAAATTTACTGAGGCTTGATTTATGACCCCAGACATGATCTGTCCTGGAGAATGTTCCATGTGCACTTGAGAAGAAAGGGTAATCTGCTGTTTTGGGATGGACTGTCCTATAAATATGAATTAAACCTATCTGGTCTGTTGTATCATTTAAAGCTTGTGTTTCCTTATTAATTTTCTATCTGGATGATCTGTCCATTGTTATAAGTGAGGTGTCAAAGTCCCCCACTATTATTGTGTTACTGTCAATTTCCTCTTTTATAGCTGTTAGCATTTGCCTTTTGTATTGAGGTGCTCCTATGTTGGGTGTATATATTTTTACAATTGTTATATCTTCTTCTTGGACTGATCCCTTGATCATTATGTAGTGTCCTTCCTTGTCTCTTGTAACATTCTTATTTTAAAGTCTATTTTATCTGATATGAGTATTACTACTCCAGTTTTCTTTTGATTTCCATTTGCATGGAATATCTTTTTCTATCCCTTCACTTTCAGTCTGTATGTGTCCCTAGGTCTGAAGTGGGTCTCTTGTAGACAGCATATATATGGGTCTTGTTTTTGTATCCATTCAGGGAGCCTGTGTCTTTTGGTTGGAGCACTTAATCCACTTACATTTAAGGTAATTATCGATATGTATTTTCCTATTACCATTTTCTTAATTGTTTTGAGTTTGTTTTTGTAGGTCCTTTCCTTCTCTTCTGTTTCCCACTTAGAGAAGTTCGTTTTGCATTTGTTGTAGACCTGGTTTGGTGGCGCTGAATTATCTTAGCTTTTGCTTGTCTGTAAAGCTTTTGATTTCTCCATCGAATCTGAATGAGATCCTTGCCAGGTAGAGTAATCCTGGTTGTAGTTTCTTCTCTTTCATCACATTAAATATACGGTGCCACTCCCTTCTGCCTTGTAGAGTTTCTGCTGAGAAATCAGCTGTTAACCTTAATGGGAGTTCCCTTGTATGTTGTTTTTCCCCTGTTGCTTTTAATAATTTTTCTCTGTCTTTAATTTTTGTCAGTTTGATTACTATGTGTCTCAGTGTGTTTCTCCTTGGGTTTATCCTGCCTGGGACTCTCTGCACTTCCTGGACTTGGGTGGCTATTTCCTTTCCCATGTTAGGGAAGTTTTCGACTACGATCTCTTCAAATATTTTCTTGGGTCCTTTCTCTTGCTCTTCTCCTTCTGGGACCCCTATAATGCGAATGTTGGTGCGTTTAATGTTGTCCCAGAGGTCTCTTAGGCTGTCTTCATTTCTTTTCATTCTTTTTTCTTTAATCTGTTCTGCAGCAGTGATTTCCACCATTCTGCCTTCCAGGTCACTTATCCGTTCTTCTGCCTCAGTTATTCTGCTATTCATTCCTTCTAGTGTATTTTTCATTTCAGTTATTGTATTGTTCATCTCTGTTTATTTGTTCTTTAATTCTTCTAGGTCTTTTTTTAACATTTCTTGCATCTTCTCGATCTTTGCCTCCATTCTTTTTCCAAGGTCCTGGATCATCTTTGTTATCATTATTCTGAATTCTTTTTCTGGAAGGTTCCCTATCTCCACTTCATTTAGTTGTTTTTCTGGGTTTTTATCTTGTTCCTTCATCTGGTACATGGTCCTCTGCCTTTTCATTTTGTCTGTCTTTCTGTGAATGTGGTTTTCATTCCACAGGCTGCAGGATTGTAGTTCTTCTTGCTTCTGCTGTATGCCCTCTGGTGGATGAGGCTATCTTAAGAGGCTTGTGCAAGCTTCCTGATGGGAGGGACTGGTGGTGGGCTGAGCTGGGTTTTGCTCTGGTGGACAGAGCTCAGTAAAACTTTAATCTGCTTGTCTGCTGATGGGTGGGGCTGAGTTCCCTCCTTTTTGGTTGTTTGACCTGAGGTGACCCTGCACTGGAGGCTACAGGCTTTTTGGTGGGGCTAATGGTGGACTCCGGGAGGGCTCAAGCCAATGAGTACTTCCCAGAACTTCTGCTGTCAGTGTCCTAGTCCCTGTGGTGAGCCACAGCTGCCACCCACCTCTGCAGGAAACCCTCCAACACTAGCAGGTAAGTCTGGTTCAGTCTCCTATGGGGTCACTGCTCCTTGCCCCTGGGTCCTGATACGCACACTACTTTGCGTGTGCCCTGCAAGACTGGAGTCTCTGTTCCCCCCAGTCCTGTCAAAGTCCTGCAATCAAATCCCACTAGCCTGCAAAGTCTGATTCTCTGGGAATTCGTCCTCCCATTGCCAGACCCCCAGCTTCGGAAGCTTGATGTGGGGCTCAGAACCTTCACTCCAGTGGGTGTACTTCTGTGGTATAAATGCTCTCCAGTTTGTGAGTCACCCACCCAGTGGTTATGGGATTTGATTTTATTGTGATTGCGTCCCTCCTACTGTCTCATTGAGGCTTCTTCTTTGTCTTTGGATGTGGGGTATCTTTTTTGGTGAGTTCCAGTGTCTTCCTGTCAATGATTGTTCAGCAGTTAGTTGTGATTCTGATGCCCTTGCAAGAGGAAGTGAGCACACGTCCTTCTACTCTGCCATCTTGAACCAATCTCCCTTGCTGAGTTCTTAAAAATAACACACTGGCAACTGGCATCTAGTGAGACTAAGAATTTGATCATGTATTAAGTAAATCTGATCATATATTAAGTCCATAGCAATAATGGCCTTACTCTGCTGTGGCAATTGCCATGGAGTAGCCATACAGATTGTGGACATCATATTGCTTGCCCCAGTGCTGTACTGCATCCATGCAGAGACTCTTGCAGAACAGGTACCCATCCAGGATTCCTACGACAAAAGAGGGATCAGTCAATGAGAACCTGAGATGCATATTCCCTGTTTCTCGACTATCTCCTGAAATTGTGGCTCCCTAGGCAGGCATTTTTTGTGGCCATCCTGGAAATGATCATACAGCTTCCTCACTATCAGAAGGATATATACTTTCAGTAGTTTCTCTGATATATAAAAAAATTGTGCTGACCCATACACATTCTCCCACCTAGGTGCACAGGTGACCAGAGGCAAGTATTTGGAAGTAAGTGGATCTAGTTAGACTTGAAGTTAGATCTGAAGTCTTCAAACTGAGCTAAATTAAGTGGTCCAAGAATAAAAATATTAGATGAAAGTGTAAATTAATTTCTCACCCTTTCTCTAAGCTGTCATAAGGGATGATTGACCAATCTCTCTTTCATTCATCCAATCTTTTCTGCTCCCCTTGCACCACTATGGTTCAGATCCAAATTACCTTTGTCTTGACCATTGCAATTGTTTTCTTAATGGCTTATTTAACTCTGATCTACTGATCTTCTAATTCATATTAGAAGCACACATTAATGCCAGACCAATATTTCTAAAACCATTTGACTGTTATGTTTCCCTCTAAAACTTAAATAGTTTCTATCACCAAAAGAATGAAGCCTCCCATCTGAGTCTCTCAGCATTTGATCCTGACCCAACTGCCCTAATTTCCTATTTTTCCATCAGGCTGGAAGTTTTCATAAGATGCTATAATTCTAGCAGCTCATTCCTTTCTTAATCAAGATACAATTTATCTGTGAGCCTCTAGATTTCTTCAAACTACAATAAATGCTGTGATTCCAGGGCCACACCCTGGGATACACTGTTGTTCAAAGTTCAGTCAGAACTCACTAGCATCATACTCACTGACTCTGATGTTGACCTGCCCCCCTCTTCCCTCCCACCCCACCAATGGGTTCTGGCTTCCTTTCATTTTATGGTCCAAATCTGTTCTTCACTGACATCTGTTCTTCTTGACATTACCAGTCTTGACCTTCATATGAAGACCTAACCTGGTTACCTAGTCTCTCTCTGGTTAGCCCTAACCTATTTGGGTACACACTTGAGAGGAAAATGAACTAACCACTAACCTCTGGCTTCTGCACCATATCTTCTCTGGAACAGAAACAGCTCAGATGTAGGTAGAAGGACTAGATTGATTGCCCCTTTTGAATTTACGCCTCATTTAGGAAAGCATAGAGTGTTTTGATTTTCTTTCCTAGTTTTCTTTATATAGTACCCACATTTTCCTTCTCCTATGCAATTTATGTAAAAAATCCCTTGCCAGGTTATTCATATATATCCTTATGAATTTAAAATACCAGATATTCATTGCCATTTTAATCAAACTAATCAGCACTTACTGGGAGTGAATGGGGGATAATTTAGATTGTTTGTGGAACATCCTGAAACTGAACCATCCACGAAGTTGGAGACTTCATTCATATCCTAGAAGACAAAGAACAAAGACTATTAAGAAAAAGTAACATATCCTCGTATGTTGTACTGATGGTGTCTTTCTTTTTTTTTAGGACTCAGAGAAATGATTCTAGATATTTCTTTTTTTAACGAGGTTCTTATGTTAAGGAGAGAAATAGATGTTCCTGTCCTGCCTTCTCTACCCATTGAAGGCTTTGTGGAGAAGGTTCTTAAAATCCCTTCAAAATGATATATGTATATAATCATTGAAAATGAAAAATTTCCAAAAATATTAGGTGAAAAATATTTCAATTTATATGGTCCCATGTATATCAACTCATACATTCTCTAAATATTCAAATATAGCGATGAATACACACACATATAAATGCATATACATATATAATACAAACATATGCAGAGAGAGTGAGAGAACAAGCATGTACCCACAGCTGTGCAAGTGAGGGCTCTGGAAACATGCATACTGAAATATTGATGGTAGATGTCTTTGGTTGATATCACTTTAGCTCTCCTCATCTGTTTAGCTCTTTGTATTTGCATTTTCTACCTTTCTCTTATAAATAGAAAAAAGTTCAACTCTAGAGCTCTGTAAATTGTGCCAGACACCTGCTGCTTTGCATTTGTTTTCATTTGACATCATGTGAGACATTTGTCCTTTCTGCAGCCACAGTTCTGTCGCTCACTTGAGTACTTTGGCTTTGATCAGTTTATCCAACACGTCTGAGTGAAAGAGCCCTGAAGGGGCAATTGAACAATTTGTGTACTTTGTGACAATGTAAGGAGTGCATGACCTATTTTTACTTCAGCTCATTCATTTGTAAAAGGAGAGCTAGACTCGGAAAAAACAGATATCTCGGTTTACTTTCTTCCACTTCTAACAATCTGATTTTGAAGTCTAAGCTACATGTTTTGGTAAGATTATTTGAATAGTAAGAGAGAGAATACCTAGAATTATTGCCATACTTGCTTTCCTCTCCTCCTCTTCCCCCTGTGCTCCATGACTCGATGATATAGAGATACAAAGTCTGAATGTTAGCTGCCTAGTAATCAAAATGTTAAGAACTCACAATCCAGATTCCATCAAATTCTACTTGATTGTGGAAAAGCTCACATTCATTTGCCCACCAAGCAGTACACTTGGGGTTGGTGTAATCAGGAAACACAGTTTTTCCCGGCCAGACCTGCAGGAGGAAAAGAAAAACATTGATCAAAGGAAGTTAAATGAATGCAGAGTAAAAGAGAGTACAAAGAAATTCCTAATACGATCATGGCAACAGAGGTGCCCAGGCACAGGTCCTTTTCAACTAGGAATGTAAAGTGCTTTAAATATTTAGACTAAATAGGAGGAGTCAAATAGTCACTTGAGAAAAAACTTATTTCAAAAAAATGGTTAAGTCTTTGCTAATCTTCAACTATGCCTCACCCTTTCCTCACACTTTCTCTACTCCTAATCCTAGGAATGGTAAATGAGGGAGAGTACTGTATAATTTCAACTGACCCATGACAAGTTATGGGTTCTAACCATCAATTACTCTTCTCTATTCTCTTCCTATCCACTTCTTCTCAGACACTAGGCACTCGGGTCAGCAGAGGTGTTAGAAGTGAACCAGCAGATAACACCTTCATGGAAAACAAGGACAAATAAGTTTGAGAAAGAACTAGTCAAACTTGCCAAATAACAGAAAAACTGAGTAAGAAGAGGAATGAAATAGTTTCATTGGATTTGCCAGTTAGGAGGTAACTGGTGCCAAAGCAGCATCAGTGGAGTGACGGGGGAGGAAAGTAGACCGTAGTCAGCTGAAGAGTGAATGGGGGGTACTTCCCTTGTGGTGCAGTGGTTAAGAATCCTCCTGCCAATGCAGGGGACATGGGTTCGAGCCCTGGTCTGGGAAGATCCCACATGCCGCGGAGCAACTAAGCCTGTGCACCACAACTACTGAGCCTGCGTGCCACAACTACTGAAGCCCGTGCGCCTAGAGCCCATGCTCTGCGACAAGAGAAGCCACCGCAACGAGAAGCCCACGCACCGCAACAAAGAGTAGCCCCTGCTCGCCGCAACTAGAGAAAGCCCGCACATAGCAACGAAGACCCAACGCAGCCAAACATAAATAAATAAAATGAATAAATTAAAAAAAAAAGTGAATGGGGGGTGAGGTGAGGAGGTGGACATTCAGTATCTAAGTCTATTGTTTAAAGGGACTTTTCTGTGAAGGGAATGTAAGAACTGGGATGACTGGTAGGTATTTGAGGACGAAAGGACAAGGGCAAGTTGATCCCCAGCATATATAAGCAACTGAAAATGTAAAACAAAACAATTACAGACACACACACACACACACACACACACACACACACACTGCCACAGCCCCTCCACCAGCCCCCACTTCCCCATTAAGATACCTCCCCAATGAGTGGAGTCACTCCATCTGAAGCATTCACCCATATCTTCATATCTGAACCCCTGTCATACGGGCCATAGGGATTACTTGGGGAAGAGTTGTTGGAGATGGCTGGATCCTAAGAAGGGGAAAAATACAATGAGGGACCTAGCTTTGAGCTAGAAGCACTGAAAGGGAACTGGGGATTGAGGGATGAGGGAGGGGGAGGAGGCATAATGACAAGGAAGAGCAAGGACCTGATGTGGGGGAATAAGAGGACAGCACATACCACAATGATGACCAATTTTTGTCCGTTATTGTGTAACTCTTTAACAAACTCAGGGAAGCCCTTAAAATTTACTGGATCATAAGTGAAGTCCTTCCTCTCATGCATATAATCGATATCAGCATGCTGAACGTCCTGAAAGAATACACAACGTCCACAATTTATGAGCCCACCCCTGGAATCAGATGAGCTGCATCACCCTACCTTGTTGCCTGGCGCTCCGGCATTGAAAACCAATCTAACAAACAAACCACAACAGTTACAAAAAATATCACTAAGGCTATCAAAACACATCCATTACCTAAATGCTATGTCATCCACAAGATAAAGGAGAGAAGGGACTGTCTCTCCCACTTCTCCCGCATTTGACTACACCACATTTTGTATTGTTGCTTCTCTTCCACTTCAAGCCTTCTTTGGCATTTGCTCTTTCCTAATTTTACTTGTATGAAAATAGTGGAGCCCAGAATGAAACTGACTCTTGCTCCAAGACCTAAGCGTCTGCCTCCAAGGGAATGCGGTAAGGGAGAGAAGAGGATTCTTCCAGAGACTACTGGGTGTTTCTCTTTGCATCTCTTGTAAGACCTCGCTACTCATTATATACTAGACACATTCAAATTTAGCCACTTAAATCATAAAAATATTTTATTACATGTATAAACTGTATTCTTTTGTTCCCTTAAACTAGGGAAAGAAATGCCTTGAGAATACAAATAAGAAGGCATTGTGTAGAATGTCATTAATACAGTAAGTATAAGAAAACCAGTTCCTTCAAGGAATGGTTGGCCCAACAATAAAGTCCAGCATTGTGAATATATAAAAATATTTTTGTCGTATATTTTTTAAAAAAACTCAGGAGGAGACAGTATAAAGAGTTGTTCTTATTCCCCAAGGAAATTCTTTTATTTTTGGAGGATTTTTTGCTGCCTTACTTACGTAAGGCAGCTGTGCGGCACGGTTTCTCTCCATGACTTCTTTCATGTTACCCAGGGTTCCATAGTCATAACGACTGAGATGAAACCCAAGTGCCCAGTATGAGGGTAGGGCTGGCCGTCCAATGAGCTGAAAGAATGATGTGAAATGGAAGTTAGCAAATACTCTATTTTTAACAAAACTTTTTCTACGCATTAGTTTGGGGGCACAAAACATACCCCACTTTCCAACACACTATTTCCTTAATATTAGAATGCTAGGCCCTTTAATAAATCATTGAGGCTCGGATCAATTTGTAATAGCACATTTATAATAGCTACTTATAATAGCATATGTTTGTGAGTCACACTTGCATATTAAATTTACATTTCTTTGCTCTTATTTACAATTTCCTCAGTCATAACCATAACATTATAAGTTTACCTCTTGATACTCTTGAACCACTTGCTCTGGAGTGTTTCCCAAGAACACGTAGAAGTCGAGAATGCCCCCAGTGGTGCGGTAAGTGACGGCTGGGGTGGGCTGGAGGGAAACCTCTTGAAAGATTAAAAATGAAGCAAATAAACATTAGAATTTATTCTAGAGTAGTAATTACAAAGCTTTAGACCAGAGGATCACCAGTCATCTGAACACTAATTAAGTGATCCTAATGCCTCAGTTTTTGTATAAAAAGGGACAAACTCTGACAATCAAAGTCCACCCTCACAGCACAAGAGAGGCCAAAGCATTTGTTCTGTGACAGATTTCCATAACTGGTGACTGCAGTGTCTTAACTGCTGTGTCAGGATTTCATGAAAAAGCAACCAGTTTCAGGAAGGGGTCCAGAATAAGCCACTGGGGCATAAAAATGATTGTAAGCTGAATGAGTTTGAGTTTCTGAAGTCCCTTATCCACCTGAAAGCAGAGCCTCCCAAAAACTCAGCTGTCATAAACCCCCTGCCCTGGGGCAAAACTAATCTCCTCTGAGACAATAACTTGGCAGCACACAAGAACACCCAGCCCCCACTATTCTCCTAAGGGCTCGCTGATCTTTCCAAAACGTCATTTGTTGTTCCATTAAATGCCCTTTATCCCTCTCACCTCTTCTAAGAAGCCATTTGTTTCATCCTAAGTACATTTCTTCCCCTATTAGGATGGTTTCTAAGTCCCAAATTCTAACCGCCCCTTTGAGTTACTCACTGAGCACTCTTGTGTATATGCAGGTTGCACACGTAAATAAACCTAGTTTTTTCTCTTGCTAACCTGTCTTTAGTTAGACTGATTCACAGGCCCCCAAATACCAAACCTAAGAGGACAGAGAAAAAAATTTTCTTCTCTGACATTCACAACTACAGAATATGCTGTTCCCACCCCATATCCCATCATTATTGCAGGAACATAACCTGGCTAGACACATGGAGGTACTAGCCTCAGCAGATCTCACATCAAGCAAGAGCCGAACTAAAAAGATGTCAGAGATGTTACTACACATTCAAAATCCCTCTAAGCCCCACATGCAATTTTCAGAGATGAAGTCTCCCCATAGCTTTGATTTGCATTAGGGACAAAAGGTCTCAAGATCGACTAAAATGTACTCTTCAGGCATAAGAACAACTCGCACGGAGTATCTAGGATTCTGTGACTTTTCCCTCTAAGCCTGACACAGATTATTTTCTGGTTCCTTTCAGCCACCTGAAACTGTACAATCCTTGTATTATCTCAGTCTATTCTTTGACTATCAGGTATCTTAGAATCATCTTAGATCACTTAGAGTGATTCTCAAACAATCTGTGGTAAAGGATCAGATCTTTATTTTTTAAATTTCCAGTTCTTTGCAAACTGATACTTTTGCAAAATAACATGAAAATGAATTATTAGAAAAAGTTTCATACATGCACTTGGACGCTACAGCAATGTTTACTCTTAATTTTATACTCATCTTACTGTAGACCTGAAACAGTCTTTGAACACTCCATGGGTCACGCTTTAAGGAGTACTGATCTAGTCCATCAAGTCCCAGTTGAGAAGAGGGTGGGGATCAATATCCTGTGCTGACCATCAACCCTGGGAGATTCTGACAGAACTCCTCTTTCCCTGTAGGGATTGATTCATTGCCCTGGGATTGGTTGTTACTGGTGGAAGCAGAAAAACAGTTGAGAATCATTGATCTGATCTAAAACCTTCAAAGATAAGGAAGCAAGCTACTTCCTGGAATCCTATGATATTATACCATTTGGTCTTAAACAATCTGATTGTACTCTGCCTGACCCTCACACTCCACTTTGCCTTGCTACCCCTGTATGTCTCGATGTAACATTCACAGCTCAGTTGTGGTTCCTTGGTTACACCCTGCTATTAGAGCCATTACCCGTTTCTTACCAGAGCTTTTATTAACCCCTGTACTGGATGAAAGTCTGAGGAAGGAGAAGAACAAATTGGTAGAAACTGCCTTAGAACAGATTATAGGAAAGGGTTAGCTGTTTTAACACTATAATAGTAAATACTCCAACAGAGGCAACCAGATTCAAGAAAATCGTAAGCTAAGAGAGAAGACTCTACTCATGGCTTCCATGGGTCAACAGGTAATGAAGTATGAATGGCACAAGCAGAGAACATACAAGGTCCCAAGCTACGGCTCAGCCATTCCTAAAGGGCGCCATTCCTTTATCATAATGCTGTAAGAAAGGGACTGAAAATCATCCTTGTGTGTGAATATTCCTTTAGTCTTTTACCCATGGCATTGCTGTTCATCAGAAACACTCCAAAGGACAATCCACTAGCATCTTCAAGGCATAGGAAGAATGTCTGTGCACCATACAAGTTAGTTCCATCCTGCAGAAAGATAATTTAAAACCAAAAATTTGCAAATAAACCCCACATGGCCAGAAAGAGCTTAGGAAATCGATGTTAATCATGTGAGTAATTGACAAGGAATTCATGTCAAAGAAGACACAAATTTTTAATATAAGGTCTATACTTGGTTGATGTTAATCAAGTGAATTAGCATTTTCATATAGAATGAGCCAGCTATGACCATTTATCTAATAGAAATGTGAGAACTTGTGATATGTTAGGATGTGGGAGAACAGGAGGTTTGAAACTGTAGTTCAAAAAAGCTCTTCTCTACAGATATCAAAAACAAACTTACGGTTACCAAAGGGGACACGTTGGGGGTAGGGATAAATCAGGAGCTTGGGGTGAACTATATAAGATAGATAACTAAAAAGGACCTACTGTATAGCACAGAGAACTCTACTCAATATTCTGTGATAATCTACATGAGAAAAGAATGAATATATGTGTATGTATAACTGAATCACTTTGCCGTACATCTGAAACTAATGCAACAGTGTAAAGCAACTATACTCCAATAAAATTTTTTTTTTTAAAAAAAGAGCTCTTCTCTCAAAGAGGCTTGACCTTGACTCAGAGTCTTGACCTAACCTCATCTGCAAAAACTCCATCGAGCCCTAATATAAATCAGGCACCTTTCTAATTTGCAACTAGATGGAGCTCTACTTAAGATATCTGGTCTTCTAGTCTTTACAACAGCATACATTAGAATTTGAGCTGGTCTTCTGGACTTTGGAACGGTAGTTCTCAACCTGGGCCGCATCCCACCCCAATTAAAACAGAATCTCTGGGAATAGAAGCAGACATTGATAGTTTATTCAATTTCCCCGGGTGATTCCAATGTGTAATCATGTTTGAGAATCACTGCTCTGGGACAGCATATCTCAAAATTTGGTGTGCATACAAATTACAAAGGAACCTCATTTCAGTGTGGGGTCTAATTTAGTAGATGGAAGAGGGAGCTGAGAGCCCAAATTTGTCACGCGGTGGTGCCCATACTGCACGCTTCAAGCAGCGAGGATCTAAGGCTCCTTATTAAACAAGCATCACCAGCCATATCCCAGATGAGCTGCTCAGACCCAACACCTTTCCTGTTTTTCTGATAGGCCTATGGTATGGCGAGGAGCATGGCCAGGGGTTAGATCCTATCTCTGCTCCTTACGAACTATTTTTTTTTTTTACTTTGGTCTATTCATTTGGCTTTCCTAAACCTCAGTTTCCTTGTCTGTTAAATGGAGTAAATTAGACTTATTTTTCTCAGAGTCCTTTTGGTAAATAGAGATAATGTATTTAAAAATTCACTTAATAAATTATTCCTCTAATTTCCTTTCATCCAGCCACTAGTTCTGCTTAATTGGGACAGTTGCTGAACAAGACCTGAATGTAGTATTGCTGAGTCTAGAAAATACCTCTGCTTTGAGTTTTAGCAGTCAAAACAAAACCAAGAGAGAAAAAACAAAATAAAATAATAACAACGAAACTCTACTCCTTCTATTCTTTCACTGCCCCAAACATTCTTCACACAAAGAATGATTAATACAGAATTTTAGTTGATATTTTATCCTATTTTGCTGACAAACCTGGTAAGTTGGTGATTTGTAAAGGTCAACCTAAAATAGGGTAACCATAACCAGCATATTGTGCCAAATCAATATTAGTTTTCTCCACAACTAGTTAGTTCAAAATGAAAATGTGATGAAAAATACTTGGCATTTATTGAGAATTTTCTATGTGGCAGACACTCTTCTAGAGACTCTACATGTATCAAGTCATTTAATTCCCATCACAACCCTATGAAGTAAGTATATTACCCCCATTTCATAGATGGGAACTAAAGACACAGAGAGGAGACCTGCCCAGAACCACAAAACTGGTGAGTAGCAGTGTCAGAATTCAGACCCAGATAGCCTCACCCGAGCACCTGACTCTTAACTGTTATACTGCACTGCTAGGAGTGACCTTCATGAAAGAAGCTATGATATTCAGTGGAAAGGGTCCCATACTGAAAGGTTACCCCTTTGGGGATTGTGTCCCTGGCAAATATGGGCCAGGTCTTCCAATTCATATCATGCCGGTACTGCTGGTGCACGTGTTCTCCCAGACCATACACGTTAGCACTAGGCAGTCGGATGGAGAGCTGCAGGAACTGATCAGCAAACAGCAGGGGCCCGATGCTGGAGTCAAACCTAGACATGGGTGGAAAACACAGGGACGGGTGGGCAAGTGGAGTGGAGGGAATGCAACTGCTTAGAAAATTGTTCTTGTATCTCAGAGACTCAATACTCCCTGTTTCATCGGCCCCGTTTGCCCCCCTGTGACATTTTTCCATGGACATCAAGAGATCAGGATTTCCTGAGGGCAGGTACCATTTGGCACATTTCTTAGATTTGTCCCCTTGACTCTCTATCACATGACCAGAATATTAGTCGTACATTATAGTAGATGCTCCATAGAGAGTTACTGCTGAATAGGTGTTAGATGGACGGAGGGAAAAAAAGGGAAAATAAGGAGGAAAAATGACCAAATGGAAGGAAGAAAGAGAAAAAGGACACAGCCCAGTGCCTGGCCTACAATAAATGCTTAGTAATAGAAGAGGGGGAGGATGAGGAAGAGGAGGAAGGAAGGAAGAGGAAGGAAGGCAGAAAAAGTATACATTTGGAGGTAGAGAGTCTGGTCACCAACAGTGGGCTCACAACCTTCAGGAATATTGTAGAAATGCATCCTTTTTCAGGCTTCAAACCTCCCTCCCCCATAACCTTCATACTAAATCTCCAGATAGGTTTGCAAAACTTACAGAACGTGATTGTTGCTCGTTCTGATCACTTTGATGCTAAATGGCTGTTTGGAGACCTCAAGTTTATAGGTCAAGGAAGCAGCAGCATTTCCTTTGAAGGGTTGCACATGTTCATGGGGCACTTCGTACCTGTCCTGGTTTTGGTCAGTGAACTGTCCAGAGAGATTAGGGAAAGACAGTCAAAATGAAAATGTCTCTGTTTTTCTAAAATAGAAGCATGCCTACCAACACCAGTGCTTCCCAACACCTGTGCTCCTGGTACAGGAACCTGTGCAAATGACATTATGTCTGAAATTATGTCACCAAATTCAGATGTTTAACACTTGGACATAAGTTAGTCTTTAGGTAGAAATATATACTACAAGTCTGCAGACATAAACTATCTCTAGAATTTTCAAAGTTGTGATCATTCTTTTTTTCCTTCCCTATATCATTTCACATGGTATAAAGGGAAAATAAATGAAAGCCAAAGCTCACCTGTGAACTCTATAATATACATTTAGGAAGTTATCACACTGAAGGAAGGCTATAAATGCTTTCAACATACACATGCTAAGTAAGAATAATGACAGTAGAGAAAAATACCTCCATTAGCAAATTTTTCTCTTTTGTAGTAACTGCAGTCATCAGGTAGGGAACAAGAACTTCTCCAAAAGAATTTTAAATAAACAAATATCATATGCTATCACTTACATGTGGAATCTAAAATATGATACAAATGAACTTATTCACAAAACTGAAAGACACACAGACACAGAAAACAAACTTAGGGTTACCAAAGGGGAAAGGGGGGTAGGGAGGGATGAATTGGGAGTTTGGGATTAGCAGATAAAAACTACCATATATAAAATAGATAAACAACAAGGGCCTACTGTAGAGCATAGGAAATTATATTCAGTATCTTGTAATAAACTATAATGGAAAAGAATATGAAAAAAAGAAACAAACTACAACCTTAAAGTGGAAACGGTTAGACGTCTGGTATTCCGCTGTGAGAAGGACGTTGTTGACATCATTTCCAAAAAGAGATGGAGAAGGCAACCTTTTCAACTGGGCTGTGAACCCTAATGTGAAGGGGGTAAAGAGTTTTCATAGCTGGCTGTGTAAATTCACAAACAGCCACATACAATTAAGCTTTATGTCAAAGGGGGTGGCGAAAAGCCTTTACTTCCCATAAGAAGAGGAGACACGGATGTGTACCTCATCATACACACATACTGTCTTGGGCCAGATTCTGAAGCTAGGTATTGTCATTACCTTATTCAAAAACCATGCCTCTCTTCTCCAAAATCTGACTGGAAACATCCCTCAAAGGCCAAACTGTCGTTACACCAGCCCATCCATCACTCATATAGCCTTTATATTCTGAGCCCTCGAGGTGTTCACATCCATTATTCCTTCTCAGTTATCTTCATGTTATGCCACAGGTGATCGTATGCATTGATGCCATCTCCCCAGTTATGTGACAAGCCAGGTGAGAGTCGAGGCCTTATTAGAAAAGCCCATCAGGCCAAGGGGCCCTGGAAGAGGAGCATGCCTCTTCCTTTATTTATGCTAAGAGCCTCCCCAAGAATCCCCAGCATGTTCATTATTATGTCTGCATTTTGAGGTGGGAGAAAGAAGGGGGGATGTTTAGTCCATGAACACTGACACTGGCTAGCTAACTTTCATAAAACATTGATAAAATTGGAATTGTTTCCATATCATTAAAATTACATTATATTAGAGTTGTTAGTAGTCTCAGAGGTTACTGAGTTCAAATCCCTCTCTTTAAAAGTTAGAAACTTGCGGAACGAAGAAGTTACAATGTTTGGACAAGGTTACAAAGGTACATAAAGACAGAGTCAGGAACAGAACATGTCTCCTAACTCCCAAGACAGAGAGTGATATTTTTCCTTGATGCCAAAATAGACTCTAGTCCTTGCTCAAGGGCAGTGCCCACCTCCTGTCACACGCTGTGGTAGCTGCACAGAGTAACACCCCACCTGCTGCTACAGCTCCCTTCTGCAGCGTACAGAGCCAACCTGCAGAGGACACAGCCCAGTGCCTGGCCTACAATAAATGCTTGCAAACCTCCCTCCCCAGAGGATCTGGAGCTCCTTCCTCAAGGCTGAGTCTGGCTTACCTGCATTTGTGTTCACAAGGTTGCCCTCCACTTGATAGCCATGACTCTTAGAATAGTAGCACCAGGGCACACTTATGGGTCCCTGAGGTTTCCAGCAGCACCCACGCTGGTCACACATGGCCTGAAATAAGAGATTAGTTAGAGTAACTCCACTATGTGTAGAACACTATCATTGATAAATATACTTTGAGCTTGCAGTCTCATGAGCCTTGTTTTACAAATAAGGGACCTGATACTTAAAGAAATTGTGCTGTATCCCAGTCAATGCGGTGCTTGCACTCAAAACTCACTTTTCTGGCCAATATCCTTCCTCGTTGTTGTTATCATATAACAATATATGATCACAATGCATTCTCTACCTGTCACCACAATAAACCTGGTAAATTTATTTAAATATTCTAAACTACTATAATAGTTATATCACCAGTAACCCAAAATGACAAATGGAGCTTCACTGATATTGGCTTTGGGCTCTAAAAAAAACTTTGCAATTAACTTTATTCAGAAGCTTTGAAATCAAGGCAATTTTGCTTTGAATTTTAAATGTGTATATTACAAATGGGTATATTTAGTATATGTGACATATATACATATATATTATACATATATACACAGTATATACATGTATGTGTGTGTGTGTATATATATGTGTGTATATATAGTCTCTTAACTCCTCCCAAGGCACTAAGTAATTGTTCCTTGAAACCCAAATAGATTCTGATTCTTATTTAAGAAAGGTACCTGCCTTTTACAATTAATGACTGAATCACATGGAGACTACAATGGATACAATCTCTTTCTCATATAACTAATTTGGAAGAAGCAATCTAAATATTAAAAAAGTACAAGGAAACCATTCCTCTTTAGTGTAACTAATAAAATACTATAGCAAAAATTATGGGTTGTGGCTTCCAGGATTAGATTACAGAGTGTCTCCTGTCTAGCTTGCTCCCTCCCTTTCACTTGCTCTGTTGGAGCTCTCACTCTGCAAGAAGTGAGGTGCTGCACTGCAGAATGACCCACATGGTGAGGAACTGAGGGAGGTCTCCAGCAAGGAACTGAGGTCCTCAGCCCAACAATCCTTGAGCAGCTGAATTCTGCTAATAATCACAATACACAAGCTTGAAAAGAAGGATCATCCCTGAGTCTCAGAAGACACCTTGATTGCAGTCTTCTGGAAGCCTATGAGCCAAAAGCACCCAGATACACCAAGGCCAGATTTCTGACCATAGAAACTGTGAGAAAATAATGTTTGTTGTGTTAAGCCATTAAGTTTTGGGATAATTTGTTACACAGCAATAGATAACTAACATACCCTGCTATATTATTTTACAGATGAAGAACCTCAGGCCACAGAGGTAAAAGTTCACAGTGGTGAAGTGATCTGCCAAAGGTCACTTAGCTATTGAGAAGACAAGGACCAAAACTTAGTTCTCCTGTTATCTATTTCTTTTTTTTCTATAGTCTGGGTTGAGTATCTGCTGAGCATATTTTCAGAAGGATATGGCAATGCTTTACAAATGTAAGATAAAAAAATTGCTTAGATATATGAACAATTAGATTTAATCAAATGCTAATTTTTTTGTTAATAACCAATATTAAGGATCGAAAAACAGTGTCCATCTGTGGTTTCCATTGCTATGGAATCAAGCTTCACTGTGAACTCAACTAGTCAGCAGTTTTTGTTTTTTCTTTTCAAAACCCACTCAGATGAAACTTCAGTATAACCTGAAAAGGGAAAGGTGTTGAAAAGAGTGTTAAGCAGAACGGTTTCTGCATGCTCCCCAGAGCTTAATAACTTCTTCACTGAACTGGAAAGGGCAAAGATCAAAGAGTGGCCAAAGCAGCATGAAAAGTGAACAGCCTCTTGGCCACCTGGAAATCCCAGGCCCTGCAGCAGAGCTAAGCAGTTATGGGGAGCAATGTGGGGAGAAGCAGAGAGCGGGGCAAATAGACAAGGGAGTAAAAAGTAGGTGAAACCTCAGAAAAGAGTTGTAGAAAGAAGCTATAAAAAAATGACAACATGAATAGGACTGAAGGCACCCAAAAATAATTCAACCCAAACTTGAGACACAAAATGTCCTTTTAAGTTGAACATGAGAAATAAAATTTAAGAGAAACTGCCAAAATAATATAGAGTGTATAACTTCCAATACAGTATTGAGGGGAAAACTAAGGGGAAAAATTCTCAATGCAAAAAATAAGGAAAGAAAACATGTATACGAGGGTAGGCATGAATGGGGAGCAGTACATAAAAAACAGACCAAATGGAAAACACAAAATGAGACCACAGAAAAAAGTTTTTCATGTCAATTATCATATGGCTTAAATACTTAATTTAAAAAACAAGGATAATCAGTTACATTTACAGAAATAAATTCAACTGAAGCTGTTTACAGACAGCACACCCAAAATTTAAGCTCACAAAAGCACTAAAACAGGGGAAAACAGCTATGTGAGAAGAATTCTTACCAAGGGTTAGTACAGCTATAGTGATAGCTGACAAATAGACTTTAAGTAAATATTAATTATTAGAGAGACATAGAGTCACTACATGATGACAAAAGCTTCAGTTCACCAGGAAGATATGACATCTCAAAACTGATACACACCTGATAATAAAGACTCAAAATATTTACAGAAAAACCTTAAAGAATCACAAGATAAAATTGAAAAAGATAGTAAGTACATAATGCAATATTTTTAAAGAACTCCCTCAGTAATTGATAGATAAAGTAGACAAAAAAGTAAAGATATTTTGCTTTTTACATAATAGATACATACAGGCTCCTGCACCAACACAAAGAGAAGGACTGGATTGAACTCAGAGATTGTGAGGAATCAGATACTGAAGACACTGCTTATGACCTAGTCAAGCTCTGCTCCACTGGAGTCCTTTTCTCCTCCAACCCCTAATGCTTCTTAACATTTAGAGAGAGAGGAGAAGAAACAAAAAAGGAAGTATTTTATATCAAAATCAGACATGAGAGAAAAAAGAAAACTAGAATCCAGTTTTATTCACGAATACAAATGCAAAAACCTAAAAGAAAAGAGCACACAATTTTAACAATGGAAATCAGCAGCATATTAAATAAATAATAAGTGAGTGGTGTTTCTTCCAGAAACACAGGGATTCTTTACTATTAAAAAATCCACTGTATAATTTTTCATAACTTATTAAAGGAAGTACACAATACAATCATTTAAATTAATCACCTATTCATGATAAAATTCTTAGCAAACTGGGAATATAAAGTAAGTTCCTTAGTTGGATAATGGGTAGATACCTAAAGCCTATAATATCCATCTCACTAACTCTGAAATGTTAGAAACATTCCTTTTAAAATCAGAAAAAAAGAGTAGGTGACCATGTCTATGTTGTTTTATAATTAAATATATATTGGAGGTCCTAACACTACAAGACTAATAAGACAAGAAAATAAAGAAAATTTGTAAAACTAAAAAGGATGAAAACAAGTTATCATTATTTTCTGACATAATATTATGTAAGTAGAAATCCAAGAAAATTTATAGAAATAAATTTAAACTAAATAAGTTAATTATTATTATTATATTAGATCTTCTATTTTCTTCTTAAAGTCATAACTTTTTCTTTTTTGCCTTTAATCTTCCTGGTATTGTTCCTTGAGATATGATGTAATATAAGAATATATAAGCTTGACTCCATTAAAATATAAAATATCTGTTCATCAAGACAGCATAAAATAGGTGAACACAGCCTCATAACAGCAGAAGATACTTGCAGCATGTATAATAAAAATAAGAAGTAGAATCTAGAATAACACAAACAAGAAATGTGTACAAATCAGTGAGTTGAAAATAATTTACTGATAAGACTACATATGCCTTGGAATATGTGCATCATTAGGTCATTAGGAAGCAGCATATCTAAGATTTAAAAAAAATTCAGGACCTCAGCAACTGCAGCATTTTTAAAAGACAGAAAGCAAAGTTGCAAGGACAAATGCAAACACATGAAAAGGAAGTGTCCCAGGTGCAGTGAGAGCCGGCCTGAGTAAATCAGAATTAGCCATCTCCTGCCACTGGAGGGAATGGGACCACAGTGGACCTTGCTCATTCAGCCCTGCCAACCATCCTGTCCTAGGTGCTGGCTCCTCTAACCCTGTATCCCTCCATCCTGTTCTTTCTGTACTGTCCAGTGTCTCTCCACAGCCTTTATGTGTCCTGTTTTAGACACAGAATTCCCTCCTTTTACTGGGATAAGAAACAATGGAATTTACAACAAAGAATCATCTGAAGGGAAATTTATACTCTTAGTTCTTTAATCCCAGAGGAGAGGAATGATAAAATGATATAGCAATGGCCTCAGCAGTAAAACATTCTGCCTAGCCTAGTGTCATATTCATAATTTCTTCCCACTCCCCTCCTCCACACAGCCATATACTTTCCTTCAACAAACACATTATATACATATACACAACATTATCCATTGAATCAGCCTCTCAACAACACTTTAGATTAGCATATGGCACCCAGGATACTTAGAACACACAACAAAATACCTAAGAAATACCTTCTATGAAAAACCAGGTCACTGAAGGTGCTCCCAGAGTATTTCTCTCCGGCTGAACTAAAGGGGAGCAGGCCAGTGAATGCATGCGAAGGTCATAGATTAATTCACTTGGGTATAACATTTAGAAAAAAGGCAAAGGTTGTTTACTGAACTACAATCTTGATACCACAGTATTAAACGGCCTTATTATAAAACCAAAGAAGCATTACTGAGGCAATAATGACATCTGAAGTTCACGTAGCCAATAACAAGATGGGCTGTTGCAGGAAAGTGGACAGACTGAGGATGCATTAGTCTTCCAGGTGGGCTTCTGAGCAAGTAGTTTCCTAGCACACTATGACAGGGGCAAGTAAATGGGTGCGGATCAACTTTCTGGAAACGTCCTGTTTAGGTACAGCAATATCTAGACCACGACATCCCATTCCTATTGGCAAAGCAGCACATTGATGAATGGTCCTCTATCATCAAGCTCCAAACTACCTTATAGTCTTAAACATTATATGCTCTCTGGCACCCATCCTGTATCTTGGCCATATGGGACCATTCAATATGTCATGTATGTGCCCCACAACTTCCTCTTCTGTCACTTTGTGTGCATTGTCTCCTCTATCCTGAATTCACTTTCCATTCCTCTCACCTCTGTCAAAATCCTGCTTATCATTAATTCCAGACTGTCACCTTGTCCTTGATAATAATCTCTTCTGCTTTGTGATCCACATAGTATTTCGTTTATATCTTATACATTTTTGTTTTATATTCTAGTTATGTATTTACTTAGCTTATCTCCTCTACCTATTGAACCTATCATCTAAAATACCAAACTTTATGACATTTGGCCCCATACTGAAGCTCTTTTTTTTCTTTTTCTCTTCTATCTTTTTTTTCCTTTATTTCTATCTTTTATTCTCTCTCTTCTTGGTTTCCCATTTCGTGATTTCGTTCAGCCCTAAGTGGCTGCTCCTAGCTGCTATGTATCACATAAAAAGCCAACCTCCTCTATCTGAAATCCAAGGTCTTCCAAAATCTGAATCCACCTTTTCTGTTCAGACACATTTCTTCCTACTCCAAGCAGGCATGTCTCTTCATTAATCCAAGAGAAAGTTACATTCATCCAGTCAGGGTAAGATGCCAGATGAAGGGGACTGAATGCTGCAATAGTCTTGGTTAGATGAACTGCTCTAACTGGGAGTCCTTCCCACGTTGGCAGCCTTGCTGTCCAGGCTGATGCCCTTCTGTGCTCTCACTGCTTTGTCCTGTCCTGGGGATTTCCTGATCCTTGACTATTTACCATATTGGTGCTCTCTCTTGCCTTCAACATAGCCTCTGAGCTTCCTGACTAGTTTTGTCCAATCACTCTGCTCCTAACTACAGTTCCCAGGCATTTTCTCTACTCCAAGCTATTTATCTGGCTCTGGTTCTTTTTTTCTGCCTTAACTTCCAGCTTCCCCAAAGCCCCAGTCTATCACTACGGTTGATTTCTCATCTGTTATTTCTTTGCCGTCTTGGTTCTCTCTGACTCAGCATCTATGCTATTTCAATCAATACCAAAGGCTCAAATTGTGTAACCATTCTCACTTTCCACAGTTCACATTCTGTGACTCTGTCCAAGTTATGGGCTGAATTGTGTCCCCAGAAAAGATATGTTGAAGTCCTAATACTCAGTACCTCAGAACTTGATCTTATTTGGAAATAGGATTGTTGCAGATGTGATTAGTTAAGGTGTGATCATACTGGAGTTGGGTGGGCCCTTAATCCAACGTGATCTGTGTCTTTATAAAAATGGGAAATTTGAACACAGACACACACAGAGAATGCTTTGTGAAGATGTAAGCAGAGAATGGAGTAATGTAGCTACAAGCCGAGAAACGCCAAGGATTGTGGCCGTCACCAGAAGCTAGGACAAAGGCATGGAACAGATTCTTCCTCAGAGCCCTCAAAAGGAACCAACCCTAATGACACCTTGATTTTGGACTTCTAGCCTCCAGAAGTATGAAAGAAAACAAAATGCAGAAATAAAATGTCTTTTGGTATTAGGACCTTTAGACAAACCAAAATAGTAACTCTCAAGAACATCACAGATTATTCCAGCCCGTGAACAATAGGATGGCTACAGAGATAAATGTGAGAGTGCCACATGCCCAAGAATCGCATGCAGCAAGCATCCTTTCTGTGTCTGATACAAATCTGCCATTTCAGGTCAGTGGACTTCACTCAGAAGGCTGCATTTTGTTTTTATTCACTCTCAACACGAAACATGACTGATATGGTGTGTGCAATGCATTTTGTAATCATATATTCAGCTGGACTTCAGGTGATGGTCAGGAAACACTGCCCAAAAGTAAACGCCCAGATGCCTGCACTATTTTTTTTTTTTTTTTTTTTGCTGTACACAGGCCTCTCACTGTTGTGGCCTCTCCCGTTGCGGAGCACAGGCTCCGGATGCGCAGGCTCAGCGGCCATGGCTCACAGGCCCAGCCGCTCCACCGCGTGTGGGATCCTCCCGGACCGGGGCGCGAACCCATGTCCCCTGCATCGGCAGGCGGACTCTCAACCACTGCGCCACCAGGGAAGCCCCTGCACTATCTTTAATCTGGTATTTATTACCTCTTCCTTCAAAACTTGGCTCTTGAAGCTTTATCCTTATTTGAAATACTGTTTTATGCCTATGGATGACTTTTTATTGTAGATCCTAGATAACCTTTTAGAATTGTGTAAGGAAAAAAGAGAGACAGAGAGAGGCCAAGAAACAGAGTCAGAGAGAACTAGTAACCAAGTAGTGTTACCAGATAAAAGACAAATATACTTTTAGTATAAGTAAGTCCCAAGTCTTACACGGGACATAATTATACTAAAAATTTATTCATTGTTTATCTGAAATTCAAACCTAAATGGACAGCATGTACTTTTATTTGCTGAATCTGTCAACACAAGGAAATTTTCTAGTTCTTCCTCTCCCAAGGCTGAGCTGTCATATAAGCATGAATACAGGATTTCTTTTCCTGAGCCACCAATAATTGCAATGCAAACAATAAACAACTCTGGGGGCTACAAACAGAAAACAGAAAAAAGAAAACAAACCCTTATCCAATGGCATAAACTCTTAAATGAAAACAAGGTCTGTAAGTCAAACCTTTGTTGGTGACTGGTCAGGGATGCAGTTTATCCGTTCCAATTCATTTACCACTGGGCACTCGGCAGAACCAGGAGTGGTACTTTTCCCAGGATCTGGAGTAACTGTCATCCCAGGACCTGAGGTAACTGTTGTCCCAGGACCTGGGATAATCCCAAAAGCAAACATAAGATGACAGAATTAATATCACAGGCATTCGATACCCCCATAGTTCTCAACACCTCCAATTATATGGACTCCACTACTGATTGGGCTTCGCTCTATGACCCTGAAATGTGCACATTCACTTTATAAAGCCTCATTTTGTTCTTGTTGACTGTATTTAACTCTACATATACCTGCACCATCTCCTTCTACCAGCAAGGCCCTCCCCTATGAGACAGTGCATACAAGAGCAAGGAGTTGGACTCCAACATTAGATTGGAAGCTCACCAAAGTGGGAACCAAATCTACCTTCTCTACTCCAGGGGTTGGTAAACTATGTCCTGTGGACCAAATCAGGTCACAGCCTGATTTGTAAATAAAATATTGCTGTCACACAGCCACACCCAGATTTTTTATGTATTGTCTATAGCTGCTTTTGTTACTATAGGCAGAATTAGGTAGTTAGGACAGAGACCGTATGGGCCACGAAATCTGAAGTACTAAGTATATGGCCCTTTACAGAGATGTCCGTACATTCTGCTTTGGTCCTGTACTTCCACCCAGGCAGCTGGTTCACGAAATGTTTGCACACAGATCACGTGCAGTATATGTTGTTCTCTTGAATGTTACCCTAATCATAGTAACCTCAATTCTCCTTGCTCAGTCAATAGTCAATCCCTTGACAAGGAACACTTCTGAGTGATGGTATTCTGATACAAATGTAAAATCTCATAGGACAAAAAATGTAAAGGGAGGCCACCAAACTAGAAACTGGCAGCTAGAATCTATGCCAGTTGATTGATGGATTCAGACTTAAAAATCAGTTAGATAGGGCTTCCCTGGTGGTGCAGTGATTAAGAATCTGCCTGCCAATGCAGGGACACAGGTTCGAGCCCTGGTCTGGGAAGATCCCATATGCCGTGGAACAACTAAGCCCGTGCACCACAACTATTGAGCCTGTGCTCTAGAGCCCACGAGCCACAACTAATGAGCTCGTGTGCCACAACTACTGAAGCCCACACACCTAGAGCCCATGCTCCACAACAAGAGAAGCCATCGCAATGAGAAGGCCACGCACCACAACGAAGAGTAGCCCCCACTTGCCACAACTAGAGAAAGCCCACGCACAGCAACGAAGACCCAACACAGCCAAAAATAATAAATAAATTATTTTTTTTTAAAGTCAGTAAAATAAAGAAGGCACATTTATTGCATTCTAACATAAGGATGTTAGATTTCTTTAGGGCACTCTACAATAAGCTAATAACAATATTAAGACAAAACAATGAGGCTTCTAATAAGTTTTCTTTTCACTAAGGTTTCCAATTCAAATGTGGTGGAGTACTAGAACTTTATATTTGTGCCAGTTTCCGCATAAGGGTTTTAGTTTCATCTTCAGGATCATAGAATTTTAAGAACTGAACAACCTTTGAGATTATTTAATCTAACTTCCCACAGAAGTAGAAGTGGTGTGACTGAAAATGAGGTAGGGGGAGGGGGCAAAGGTTTTCCTCTGGCAACACACTAGCCCCTCATCACGTGCCCCACCTAGGAAGCTGTTCCTAGCTGAAGCCCAGATAAGAAATTATGGATAACTCAGCACAATCCAGCCCTTCTGTTAAAATAAAACAGTTCAATAAACTTTTAATAAAAAAACTCTGGTAGCTGTTATTTTTTTAAAGAACCAAACCTGGGCTGAAGGTACGTTAATTGATTATATACTTATTTGACTACATTTCATATAAGGGTATTGTTGATTACTATTGTTAACAAAATTACAATTATTCAATGAAATTCAGCAAATATATTTCAAGTGCCAGTTGCGGAATCCTGCGCTGTGCCAAATTGGGAAACGAAAGTGTCAGTTAGGCCTACAGTGAATACCTATTGTGCTGTCACAGTTTGAGTCAGGTGGTCCCCAACACACACTTATAATACACACACACACACAAACACACGTTCACACCAGTGAATACGAAAGCATCACTTCCCTGCCATTTCTGAGGTGTTTGCTCTGATAAGAGCAATATATGGAGGGGGCAACACCAGAGTTCCTTGTTACCTTCTGATTCCAAAGAGTCTCTGGCTGAAAGCACAAAGAGAGGAATAGTGATGATAAACACCACAAGCAGAAGAACACTGAGCATAAGCTCCAAAGTAGTGAACTTTTTCAACTTCTTTCTTGCCATCTACAAAGAAAGAGAAAACAATTTTAGATTTGAGTTTTATTTAACACGTGGTAGCAAACTTTTTTAACTTGAGAAAAGCTCAAATGTATACATAAGAGAAATGAATAACATAATAAACACGCAGGTACCCATCAACTAGATTAAAAAATTATCAAGTGGCCAATCTCATTTTGTCTTTTTTTTTTAAAGGTAATATAAAAACTTTTATTTTTCTTATGTCTATTCTTATTCATGTCTCTCCTTAACCTTGGGTTATTTTGAAGCAAATCTCAGATTTCATATCTTTTATTCTGAAAATATTTAAGCATGTTTTTTAAAAAATAAGAAATTTCACAAAAGCCAAGCAAAATACTGTTATCACACTTAAAATATTTTTAAAATAATTCTTTAATCATCAAATTAAAGAATTATTTTAAAAAAATTTCCCTGTCTGATAAGCATTTTATAGTTTGTTTGTTCTACTCTCATAAGGATACAAGTAAGATCTATATATGACTAATTGATTTGTGTCTGTTAAGTCTTTTTTAACCAGTAAGGTTTGTTCTGTAGATCTTCCCACAATCTGGATTTTGTTGATTGCATCTCCATGCATGTCAACGTTTCTCTATCCTTGTATTTCCTATAAATTATTAGATCTACAGTTTTGACAGATACAGGTTGGTTTCTTTTTAGCAAGAATGGTGCATAGATGGTACAACATCTTCCAGCAAGAGACACATAAAATCTAGCAGTCTCCTTTTTTTAAAAAAATGTTCACAGCCATTGGCGAGCATTTCTTCAATCCATTATTTCATTAGGAGTTGTGATGCAGTGACACTGTAATTTTATCATTCTTTGTTCACTTATTAAATGAAATATTCCTATAGAAAGAAATTTCCCCTCATCTATCATTTGTTTCATAAAGGTGCAGTTTGTATAGGAAAGGCAGGATAAATGTTTGACTCTTTATTTACTGGTTTTTAAAATAAGGAGTAATAAGGAGTAGTTTCCCTAGCATCTTCCAAAGGGGATCAATGAGATTTTTTGGTCCAATATCTTTATGAACTCATAGATTTAAATACATTTCATCTGTATTAATCCATTGATGTTATTATTATTAACGCTCATATTGTCCCATCTCTACCCATTGACAGTCTCTTCAAGGTGGTTCTTGGTACACTTTGGTACTTTCCCTGCTTGCTGGTTTAACATGATAACCTAGGCTCCTTTTGTACATTTCCTGCCCCTCGTCTCAAATCAAACATTTCTAAGGAGTTCTGGCTCCTTTTAGTGGCAACAGTATTTAGAAACTATAATCTGGATAGAGTCTGTGAAATTTAACCTAGAATTCCAGAATTGAAGGGACCTTATGGATCATCTTGACCAGTGCTGCCTTTGGAGCCCCAAGGGGTCCTTGAGGATTTTTAATTTCAAAAAAAATACAGAAATTACACATTTATCTATGTTAGACTCATTATGAACACTAGCTAGGGATTAGAATATTTTGTCAAGAAGTTTAAATCAAACACTCGGCACTTGCCCCTGCCCCACTCCTACTGAATCAGAATCTCTGGAGTTAAGGCCTGGGTATCTGATTTTTTTAAAAACCTCCACAGATGATTCTGATATGCAATCATGTTTCAAAAGCAGTGAACCCCATCTATTATAGGTTCGCTGTTGACTCCCTGCTGAACAAACTGTAGTATCCCTGTAATGCACTAGGAATCCTGCGTGCTCTTCAAGTATATAGAACACTGAGATCGAACACATGAAGCTCCTCTTGTTGGGATACTAAATTTAGAGTACTTTAAGCCAAAATTTGGCTTTGAAGTAAAGATTCATGAAGTTCAAAACCTAAAAACATTATCCTTTATATTCAAAGATCCACCATAAATTGGGCTTTGAAGTATCTTCTTATTCATGAGGAAGGATTTGGCAAAGTCATCCACATTTACTCTTTCCAGGCTATGGGAGGTTACAGGGAAACCCAGAGAGCCCAGAGATCAACTCAACTGCTCAGAGGGATGAATATTGATATCATTTGTCCAGATACGGAGCATAGCAACATAGCACGTGTCTGAACGAAGAAATAAAATACCACGTTCCTAAGGGTGAGTATTGTGATCGACACAGAAACAGGACTTGAGGACAGAAAAACCGGACAGCTATTAAAGCCGGGACCACTGGGACCATCAGTGTCACCCGGGCCTCTGTGCAGACTCCCTTAGTCTTCGACCAGGAAGGCAAAGACCACCATGCACAAACTCAAATGGGGGTTATGCCTCACATGAAGTCCTTTCTAGAAATCTTCCCCAGTGCTTCCATCCTTGGACTTGGTCCTTTCTGATTCTGGACTGAGCTGTGGCTCTACCCTCCATGGGCAGCAAGTAAATAAACCCCCCATCACTCCCTTCACATCCTTCCCCTGGATGGCCCAGATATGACTGCATGTACCTCCTTCCTCTGACCCCACTACTGTCCTTCTTTAGAAGGACTTCACTGTCTCTTAGGGGAGGGCACACCGTCTTTCATGTTTTGTACAAGAATGTGGACACAGATATAGCACTTCTCCAAAAGCATGAGAAACTACGTAGAGCCATACTTTAATGCAGAAATGCATTGCTCAATAGGGAGTGAAACCTACAGCTAGTCACAATCAATACACAAACCAGAGGGAGGGAGAAATATCTTGTCAAAAGAAGAAGTAAACATCAAACAACATCTCCTCCAGGACTTCAGATTAATAACCCTCCCTCTCTCGCTCCCAAGCACTCTATCTAGATTTATAACCCTGAGGAGAATCTGTCTTCCCTACTAACTTTGAAGCTACGAAAGGAAAGTGAGTACGAGTTTCTTACCCCTCCCCAAGTCATCTCTCGGCCTGAGAGCCTCAGATGCCGATCCCCTTGGCTCTGGGGCAGCTGAGTGGAGCCAGGGCGGAGTCCAGGGACATTCTTCTGCCGGCAGTTGCCGCCCCGGGAAATCCAGATCCCTTTCAATTAGCCTAGTGATGCCACCTTCCTTTTTTTAAAATCACTGTATCATTTTTTAAATTTTTATTTTATATTGGAGTATAGCTGATTGCCAATGTTGTGTTAGTTTCAGGGGTACAGCATAGTGATTCAGTTATACATAGACACATATCTTTTCTTTTTTCAAGTTCTTTTCCCATTTAGGTTATTACAAACCTGTGCTATAGAGTATGTCCTTATGGCTTATCTATTTTAAACAGAGCAGTGTGTTTATGTCCATCCCAATCTCCCAATCTATCCCACCACCACCCCCGCCCCAGTAACCATAAGTTCATTCTCTAAGTCTGTTATCACTGTATCTTTTTCTTAATAGTTGTTTTTTTTTCCTTTTCCTTGTGTTCTGTGATGTGGACAGTGCTGGCAAGAACTCCACCATGCCTCAGTGCACGCTACCTGGCAGGTGCTCTAAGTGAGTATTTGCTGACTGGGGAGCAAGACTGAGTGGAAACACCACCAGAGGATCCTTTGGCCATGCGTGTACTGCAGGGTCCTCGTTCCTGTTTCCCAAGAGGAAAGGTGGGGAAGGAATGGGGAACAGTGTGCCTTCATCCCAGGAACCTCACCAGTAATCATAGGGGCACTAGGGAAAAGGAAAGAAAAAATAAAATCTGGATTTAAAAATAATATAAGCTAGAGGGCAGTTATTCATTTTACAAAAGGATCCAAGTCAAGCTTTCTTTAAATCAATCTCTGAAGTGTGAAGGAGTGGTACATCAATATCTCCAGGGAGATTTTTTTTAAGAATATACAGCTACTTCCCTCTCCATCTGACCTGTGTAACGATTGCTCATAACCAGTAATGGCCTTCATGTGAGTTGTAACATACAAAGAAATAGCTGAAAACCATCTCTTTATAAATGAATAGTTTATATTCTTCACCAGAATATATCCTAGTAAATGCACTTTCTGGAAAACAACACTCTTCACAGCCCCTTCTTAAGCCCAGCCACAGCTGAACACAGCCCCACATCCCTGTCCTGCTCTCTGTACCCCCCTACTCCCAGCTCAGAACTGCCCCCAACTCCACTGCAGACCCCCTTTCCCAGGCTGATTATGAGCTGAGCTGTTCTCTGCTCTGAATCCCCAGCACAATGGTTCTGTCTGCTTTTCTTCATCCATATGAAGACTCACTTCATTTAGTACATGAAGACGTACTTCATTCAGTACATCTTTATTAGAATGTCAAGGGAAGTCTGGAAAGGAAAAAAGGTAAAATCCTGTGATCAGTCTACCATCTGGAACCCTTCTATGTAGGTTTTAAAAGTTCCCTAGATCACTTTGATATTCACTTCCCCTCCACTCCTGTTTGAGAATCACTTGGGAAACCTTGAGTTCAGTGGATTTAATAACATTGAATGACATTATCCTATGAGGGGGAGGGGGAACAGCAGATGTAAATTAAGGACAGTGCAATAAGGGACAAAAATGAAGTAGGAGACAGTAATAAAGAAAAATGAAATGCATTTGGAGGGAGTAGTGGGGGATGGGTGGCTCCTTGAAAGTTTTCAACCCCATTAAAGCACCCCTCCCAACTCTTCCAGTCTCTCCAGTATATCAATGCGCCCTCTCTAACCTCAGCTCATTTGTGACCAAGGATAAGTTTTCCTAAGGCTTTTCCCCCAAAGGTATGTCTACTTTCTTAGGTTTACAACACCCCTTTTCTTTTTCAAATTGTAAGCTCTTAGGGTGTGAGAATTATGCCTGCTTCTTCCTAAATACCTACAAGCAGAATCTACATAATCAATACTTACTGACCAATAACATTTTATTCCTTGACTGAATATTTACAAAATAACCTGAATACTTCCTAATTATAGTACACCATGAAGGCACTTTAGAGGATATAATGATGGCACCTGCCTTAAGTGGACTTAAATTCCAATACCACTATTTCCTTCCACCCAGTAAAGGCAATGTACGGTAGAAAGAAGAAGAGAAGGGATGTGCTCTTTCTTGAAAATCAGAAGACCTTAATTTTATTCCTCATTC